CCTAAAGCGAGGACGCTCGGACGGGGGGAGGGCGTTGCTAATGGCAAGCTGGGCGACAGCATCGCGAGAAAGCCAGACAGAGCGCGCACGGGCAGTGGCAGCAGTAGACTCACGCTCAGTGGGTGTGGGGTCAGCGGGCAGAATAGCAGGAGGGTCTGAGCAGGGGAGCGTACCGTCAAGGTGTGCGGAAAGCGGTTCACCATCCTGCCGCTGGCCAGTGAGTTGGCGGCGGAGGTCGGCAAGCCACGCCTTGAACTCTAGGGGCTGACCTTCAGCGTCGAAGCGAAGCTCCGCCGCCATCAGGAACAGTCCAGTGCTGTGCAGGGCGGTGCAGCTAGGTGGGGTGCGGTGCAGTGCGATACAGTGCGGTGCAGTGCGGTGCAGTGCGGTACAGTGCGGTACAGTGCGGTGCAGTGCGGTGCAGTGCGGTGCAGTGCGGTGCAGTGCGGTACAGTGCGGTGCAGTGCGGTGCAGGGCGGCACGGAGCAGGGCGGGGTGGGGGGGGGGGGGGGGGGAACCGTACCAGTGAGGAGGACGGGGCCGGGGCTGGCCCGACGGGGCCGGGCAGGCGCGACGGGGCCGGCCTGGTGCGACAAGGCCGGGACGGGGCGACGGGGCCGAGCGGGCGCGACGGGGCCGGGCTGGGGCGACGGGGCCGGGCGAGTGCGGCAGGGCCGGGCCGGTGCGACGGGGCCGGGCGAGCGGGACGGCGGCCGGGCTGGTGCGACGGGGCCGGGCGGCTGCGACGGGACCAGGCAGGGTGCGACGGGGCCGGGCGGGCGCGATAAGGTCGGGCAGGGTGCGACGGCGCCGGGCGGGCGCGACGGGGCCGGGCGGCGGCGACGGTTACGACGCGGCCTAGGAGGGGCGCTATGGGGCCCAGGAGGGGCACGACGGGGGGGGCCCAAGAGAGGCGCTACGAAGCCCAGGAGGGGCGCGACGAGGCCCAGGAGGGGCGCTACGGGGCCTGGGAGGGGCGCGACGGGGCCTGGGAGGGGCGCGACGGGGCCCAGGAGGGGCGCGACAGGGCCCAAGGAGGGCGCGACGGGGCCCAGGAGGGGCGCTACGGGGCCCAGGAGGGGCGCGACGGGGCCCAGGAGGGGCGCTACGGAGCCCAGGAGGGGCGCGACAGAGCCCAGGAGGGGCGCTACGGGGCCTGGAAGGAGCGCGACGGGGCCCAGGAGGGGCGCGACAGAGCCCAGGAGGGGCGCTACGAGGCCTGGGAGGAGCGCGACGGGGCCCAGGAGGGGCGCTAGGGGGCCTGGGAGGAGCGCGACGGGGCCTGGGAGGGGCGCGACGGGGCCTGGGAGGGCGTTACAGGGCCCAGGAGGGGCGCTACGAAGCCCAGGAGGGGCGCGACGAGGCCCAGGAGGGGCGCTACGGGGCCCAGGAGGGGCGCGACGGGGCGCTACGGGGCCTGGGAGGAGCGCGACGGGGCCCAGGAGGGGCGCTAGAGGGCCTGGGAGGGGCGCGACGGGGCCTGGGAGGGGCGCGACGGGGCCTGGGAGGGCGGTACAGGGCCCAGGAGGGGCGCTACGAAGCCCAGGAGGGGCGCGACGAGGCCCAGGAGGGGCGCTACGGGGCCCAGGAGGGGCGCGACGGGGCGCTACGGGGCCTGGGAGGAGCGTGACGGGGCCCAGGAGGGGCGCTAGAGGGCCTGGGAGGGGCGCGACGGGGCCTGAGGGGGGGGGCGCTACAGGGCCAGGGGGGATGAGCGGAAGCGGTAGGTGGGGGGGGGGGGATCCTACCTACGCGTGATACCATATCATAAATTAGAATTGAATAATGGTAATGTGAGAGTACACACAAATATATCTAAGTTTTGTATCCTCTAAGAGGTGACTCTATACAGTCTATACAAACATGACAAATACACATGTTTGAAAGCCTTGCCTTTCCGTGCCGCCGTGGCGACTTCTCTGAGATGCCGCGGCGGCTTAGTCGAGCTACAGTCGCACCTCCGCCTCGCCGCCGCGGCATCGACGTCGCGCTGTGGCGGCATCTTTTGGCTGCCGTGGCGGCGTCATCGGGCGACAGCCGACCACGCATCGTCAATGGTGCCGCCGGACCTGCCGCCCGCTCTGCAGCCGCCGGCGTGATGCTGGACTACGCCCCGCGCCCCTCTCCCCCCCCCCCCCCCCCCCGCCCCCCTTCCCCCCTCCTTCCTCTGCTTCCCCCCCCTTCCTTGCTGCAGCCAACAACTGCCTCACGCGGGCCCTCCCCACTGCCGAGGTGACTGGAGATGCCGCCGAGAGGGCGGGGGCCGCTGCACCAGCCGCTGACGTCCAAGCCGCCGCTGCCGTTGCTGTTGCCGCGGGCCGGGCGCCGCCGCACGCCGCCACTGGCGCCGCTGTCGTCAATGTCGCTGCTGCCGCCATAGCCATCCCACGGGCAGTGGGAGCTGCCCGCTTCTGGAGTCGTTGTGTCTCCTGCTGGGAATGGGGGTGCTGGGCTAGGGGGTGTGGGTGTGGGTGTGGGTGTGGGGGTGTGAGTGGGCTTGACACTACCAAGCCTAGGGGGTGTGTTCAAATTATATAAGTTATAATTTAATATAGGCTTGGTAGGTTGTTACTGAACCTTTCTGTAGGGGGTACAAACCCCTCCTTGTACTCCCCTCTCTTCCTAATCCAACTCTCTTCTCTCTCGATACTCTCGTCCAGCTCCTAGCTAAACCCCGCCGCCACATTCATGGCGGCCTTGTTCCTGCCTAGTATCCTAGCCTAGAGCTACTTTAACACTCCTACCCTGATGACATGCCTGGTGATCTGGAATCACCTTTTTCCAGTTGTTGGAAATACCTCAAGGACTTGAGCGTTTCTGAAGTGTAACACTACACTCGAGGAGAGTCGTAACGGGTATGCGAGTCAACGGAGGTTACACGAGGGGATGGACAAAGAACACGAAAGGACTCGAAGGGTCGCAACCGGAGGTTGCGACTGACCGTTACAACTGCAAGGATGGTAACAGAACCGACAATCGAGTCGCTGTGCGACTCGATAAACCACTCTTTCAACTGTATTCTACAACTGCTTTACTTTCCTACTTTCTATATATTGCTGTATGCTTGTTCGCTTAAAGCCCGTGGCTATAATAGCAATCAAGAGGGCTGTTTAATTTTCTCTTGAACTTGGCACATGACTTCATCTTTAGAGTAAACGAAACAGGATAAAAACATTTCGTTTTGCAAAGTGGAATCTGACCGTGGCGGTTTGGCGACCGCTTTTGCACGAAACCATTCGGTGAACAGTGCAATACGCGTTGTGCGGCCGAATTCGTGGTTCCGTGAACAGTGAAAATGCGAGAAGAACAGTGTTTTTTTGGCGAACAGTAGCTGATTCCGGAATTGCAGACCTGGAAATCACTTGAATTCCCCACTCATAATGCGCCTGTATTTCCTCGTCGCAAGCTGCTCGCCCAAGCCCGTCGTAGAAACTCTGTGCGATGCACACAGTGTTTTTTAGCAATCCGCATCCAAATGATCGTGTCGCAACAAACAGCAAAACGAGTTCTTTCGCCATTCCTCCAATCAGCAAGCTCGACCAGAATTTGTTTCGACACACTTTTCTTGTTCAGGCTTGGAACTCAAAGCTGCCTTCCATTCTATACTTAGACGGATTTCAAAGCACCAAATTCAAGTGGTTTCCAGGTCTGCTATTATAGCCGAGGGCTTTAATTAATCACTTGCTCTCACATACTAGTGCAAGGGTTCAACTACTCCAACTTCCGCTGCACTACTCAAGCATCTCTTACAACTGGGACTCAGTCTCTGGAAAGATCCTAAGGGCTTTTATCAGCCCAACACCAGTAAAGGTAGATTGTGTTGTGTGTGAGTTCAGGAGGAGCAGGGTTGCAGAGGTGTAATGTCAACTTATATATATTATATATAGTTGTGTAGGCTTGTTAGGTGTTCTACAAATGACTGGGTATTGTTGTAGAGGGTACAACTTGTCAACTTATATATATTATTTGTATATAGTTGTGTAGGTTTGGTACGGTATTCATTATGTAACACCCTATGGTGGATATAATAATTCACTAAAAAAATGAGTGGGTGTTACAGCGAAAGGCTAAAATAGTGACCCGACCCCCCTTTCAAGTTGGACCCAACTCGTTATAGTTCGGCTCAAGAGTGTGTTGGTTGGAAACTTGCAAGACAACTATTTTTTGGGGTTCCAGCTTGTGTTTGTGTGAAAACTGGGACAGAAATACGAATGAACATTTTGCACGATTCTCGCAAATCACAAGCCATCCCGCTACCCTGCGAAAGACGAGTTGAGGACCTTGATTTTAAGAGCCAAGGCATGCATTTCCCCTCAAATGTCACTTCAAAGTACCTGCAAAATAAAACGTGTAGGAGAAATACTGAGTGCAAAATACCAAAAACCACGACACAGAGAGAGATGCGCGGCGACAGGTGCGGAGAGCGGGAGAGATACGGTGAGCGGGAGAGGTGTTCAGAGCGGGAGCGCGAGAAGAAAAGCCCTTGCGAAATCGAAGGAGAGGGGCGGAGAGAGAGGAAGTGGGCGGAAAGAGAGGGAGAGGCGCGGAGATAGAGTTTGAGGCGCGGAGAGAGAGCAGAGGTGCGGAAATAGACGGAGAGGTGCGGAAAAAGAAGAGGTGCGGAAATAGGAGAGGTGCGGAAATAGGAGAGGTGCGGAAATAGGAGAGGCGCGGAAATAGGAGAGGCGCGGAAATAGGAGAGGTGACGGGAGAGAGGGAGAGGCGGGGAGAGAGAGGGAGAGGCGCGGAGAGATTGGAAGAGGCGCATAAACGGAGGGAAAGGTGAGGAGAGAGAGAGGGAGAGGGTGAGTCCTCATTGAAAGGAGTGGGACTGTCGCCATCTCCCTGCGCCACATCCTCTTTCGCAGCGAAACTCTCATCCGCTCTCCTTCTCGCCGCGCCATGTCATTCTCGTTGCGCCACACTACACTCTTCCGCGGCGCTACACACTCTATCCAGCCATGCTTCTCTCGCTCTCTCTCTCTCGCCCACCGTGCCAATCTCTCTCTATCCCATCGCGCTACTCTCTCTCTCTCTCTCTCTCTCTCTCTCTCTCTCTCTCTCTCTCTCTCTCTTGCCACTCTACTCTCTCTCTCTCTCTCTCTCTCTCTCTCTCTCTCTCTCTCTTGCTCTCTCCCTCTCTCTCTCTCTCTCTCTCTCTCTCTCTTTCTCTCTCTCTCTCTCTCTCTCTCTCTCTTTCTCTCTCTCTCTCTCTCTCTCTCTCTCTCTCTCTCTCTCTCTCTCTCTCTCTCTCTCTCTCTCTCTCTCTCTCTCTCTCTCTCTCTCCTGTGCTACACTCTCTCCCCCGCCGCACTACACTCTCCCTATCTCTCTCCCGCGCTACACTCTCTCTCCAGCCGCGCTGCTCCCTCTCTATCTCCCGTCGCGCTACTCTCTCTCTTCCGCGCTACTCTCTCTCTCTCTCTCCCGCCGCACTACTCTGACTCTCCTGCCGCCCTACTCTCTGTCTCCCGCTGCGCAACTATCTCTCTTTCCCTCTCGCCGCGCCAATGCCTCCCTATCTCGCCGCGCCACATTTTCCACACCGTTCCTAGGCACTAAGCTGGAAAAAACAGGGGGTCAACATGCGGAACTAGGTAACTAGGCGCCTGTTACTAGCTTGCAACTAGCCGGAAAACGAGCTACGCAACGGGATTGGAGAAGTGCTATTTGCAGCAATCATGAACACATGCCCAACTTGAAAACCGAGTTGGGCCCAACTTGATCCAAAAGCCTCAACCCGTCGCATGCACTCGCCATGCAACATTCGCACAGGAAAACGCTAACCCTGACGAGGAAAACTTGTCAGAAATACACCGTTGGCCCATCACGGGTTTTGTCTCGCAAGGATCATGTTGGCGGGATCCAATCAGCTTTGAGTTCATACTTCATTTTTCCTACCCGCGTCACTTTGGAACACTGATTTGTCAGCCGAGGTTTCCAAGAGAAGTCACCAGAGGGAGCCCTCTTCCAAGTTGGGCCAGCCTTCACAATTTTACCTTCTCGCTTTAACAGTGGCCCGGAAAAATATAGAGCCTATGTGTTATGTAAAATGCAATATTAATTTGAGTGTTTTAAGGCTTATACAGCTACCGGTTCTTGTTCACACGATGTTGGCGATATGAATGCAGTTGCATACGTGTCGAATTCGATATCAGCACGATCATTTGTGGCCAATCCCAGGCGGCCGTGCCTGCCAGCGGTAAAAATGCAGCCACAGGCTGCCAGCGCAGGGTAAGAACGGCTAAGTGTGGTGGGTGCTGCCAATGCAGCAGACGTGAGGGAATATGCCCTTCCAACTTGGCATATCAAACCTGGCATGCGATGGTGTTTCCGGTTTGTTAAAGACCGTGCGCGCTCCGGGCTGGGGTTCCAACCACGTTTCTTGTTCATCCATATCTTGCCGCAGCGTTCTTTTTCAATTCTGCTTTCGTTTCTCGACACAAAACCCCTCACAATGCCCGGGCTCTCTAACAGAGCCTCAGGCACTAGTCCCTCGACTAGCAATCTCCCTTTCAGGTGCTGCCATGGTAGCACGTAAGTTTAGCGGCCTCTTTGTATTGCGCACCCATCATCCTCCCTCCGGCAATCAGTTCCTACTCCGTCCGTTCTTGTCGATTCCCCTGGCACCACCTGCACCACTTGCTCCTCCCGCTCCACCTGCGCCACCTGCACCTCATGCACCTCCCGCGCCTCCCGTGCCTCCCGCTCCCTCGTCGTCGATTCCCAGTCGTCCGCCTGAATGGGACAATTCATGGCATGACGATGAGGACGAGTTGTACTGGGAGGAGGCTGCCGACGGAGAGCCTGAGCCTCCGCCAACACTTCCTCGAGTTGCTATTCCGTCTTTCCCTCAGCCTAGCCATCGTCCCAATATGCCTCGCGTTAGCCGTGATGCCGCACCTCCCTCCCCCAGAAATCGCAGGACGAGGCGCAAAAGAGTCTCACGTACTGTGGCCGAGAAGCTCTTCTGGTTGGGCAAGCTTGACGACGACCCTAAGCTATCCAACCGCAAGCTCGCAAGGATGGCGGAGGTCCAGCCTTGTCATATTCGCGAGTGGAAGAAAAACAAGTCGAAACTGGCGGTGGCTGCTGGCTGCAGGCATCGTCTTGTCGGCTCAGGGTGCAAGGCCAAGTTCCCGGACATGGAGCGCGAGCTGTACAAGCGCTTCCTCTGTCATCGCGCACGTGGCCTGGCGGTCTCCATCAACTGCCTGCAGAAGTGGAGTTGGAAGTACATGAAGAAGCGGCACCCTGGAGTCGACTGGCGAGCGTCGTCGCGATGGGAGTTTGTGCGTCAGATGCGGTCAACTGCTACCCCAACGAGTTGATGATCAACGCCGACCAAACACCTCTGTTTCTGGAGATGCCGCAGGAGACGACGCTAGAGGTCCGCGGCTCAAGGACGGTGCATGTGCGCACCGCCGGCTACGAGAAAGAACGGCTGACCGTCATGCTGGCGGTCACTGCTGCTGGACAGAAGCTGAAGCCGTATGTCATATTCAAGCAAAAGACCGTGCCCAATATCCGAGTCCCCCCTGGTGAGTTTGAATCTTGTTGTTGATTCATTCTCTTTATCTTAATCCCCGTCCCATGCCCTGCTGTTTTTCTCTTCTCATTGACCCTGCCTGATGTGCTTGTGTCTCGGCATGTGTCCAGGCATCGTCATCCGTGCGCAGCCGAAAGGATGGATGGACGAGGAGCATGTGAAGGACTGGATCACAGCAGTGCTCGTCCCATTCCTCAAGAGACTCCTTGCGAGGCATGGCGGTCGGGCGAAAGGTCTCGTCGTCCTCGACAGCTACAAAGGGCACCTGACCGAGGGCGTGTCAGCGGCGATGCGCCTCTTCAAGATCTCCAGGGCCGTGATTCCTGGCGGCTGCACGCCGATCATCCAGCCACTCGACGTGGCTATCAACTGTTGTGAGAAGGCGCATGTGAGGCGGTCCTACACAGGTTCGTTTGAAGAGTGTGGCTGCGATTTGACAACACTCGCAGGTGAGGTCCTTGCCATTTTGTGCCTGCGTTCCATGTTGTTTTCCTTGCGTGTGCTCCGTCGTACACTTCATGTCTATTCGGATGCTTGCTCTTTTCATCAATGAAGTTGTTTCGACTCTTAAAGACTGCCTTTTGTACCGCCTTACCTCCCTGCGCCCCCACCAGGAAACCTCATGAAGCCCCCCGCGGAGGTGGTGCTGCAGTGGATCGCAGCCGCGTGGGAGGCCGTCCTTGCCGAGCTCATCCGAAACGCCTTCAAAACCTGTGGCATCTCCACCGACATTAATGGCAAGCTGCATCAACGGCATCCGGCTCGGCCGAGGTAGCAGAGTCCTCCGCTATGGCGGAGGCGCGTCTGACCACAGCAGCAGCAGCTGCTGCAGCAACAGTGACGGCCACGACAGCAGCAGCAATAGCAGCAACGTCGACAGCAGAAGCATCTGCGACCATCGATGACGACTCCATCGAGATGGTGCCTGCGGCAGAGGTGCTTGCTGGGCTGGCGGCCTCCAACTGGACAGACGAGTATGACTGGGACGACATAGCGTCCAACGGTGACGACGTGGAGGCGTGGCACGCTGGCGACGAGGACGACGAAGAGGATGAGGAGTATTAGACTGATTTCTGACTGGGCTAGGGCCCTTTAGATCTTGCAGTAGTCTTTAGATGCAGCTTCAGTAGCTAACTCTTGACTAGAATTCGAGGCCTGCAAATGCAGCCGTGCTAGAATCTTCCATGTACTTGAATCCTTATTAGTGGATCGATTATGTAATAGCAAAAGGGGGGGGGGGGGGGGTTTATGTAAAATTCAAGGTTAAAAAAAGCAGGGTGCTCTACCCTATCATAAGCTCTACCCCGCATAAACCACCCATGGAGTGACTATTCCGGCGGGTATTATATACGGGGGAATACGGTAGGTTAGCTGTGCTACACACTCTTCTTGTATCCCTCTCTCTTCTAGTCCAACCCACTTTTCTTTTGTCAACTTTTCTACCTAGCTAAAAGCTCGGCATTTCCTAGCTAGCTTCTAGGCTTAGCTTGAACATGGTACAGTGACGGAAACAATTGTCCGGATGTTTTTTTTTTTTTTTTTTGGCATTTTGATGAGTGCAGCGTTGTAAACATTAAGCCTTAATTTATGGTGGGCATACACGTTGAGAAGAGCAGATAGAGCACTCATTCAAGTCTCCAAAAACATGAGTAGTATAGTACATGGTCCTTCAACACCTAAGAATTTCATAAGAGCACATCCGGACAATTTGTACCGAGGACAGGCAACAAACTAGAAACAAAAAAACTAGTACCTAGTCCAGCGTCCCTTTGCGCGAATCACTGCCTTGATCCTCCTTGGCATACTGTCGATGAGGTTGAGCACACCTCCACCGGTATCTTGTCCCATTCCTCCTGCACCCTCTCCCACAGCTCCAACATTCCACTAGGTGGCTTTTCGTACTTCGCCAGCTTGCTTTTCAAGTGTGCCCACAGGTGCTCTATCGAGTTAAGGTATGGGGAGGACGAGGGCCATTCCAGCACTGCATACTCCTGCTCCCCAAGCCAGTCTTGCACCAGACGGGACTTGTGCTTGGGATCATTGTCGTGCTGGAAAATGACCTCTGAGGGGGGGAGCTTGAAAAAATTGATGGTCTGTGAGAGCTCATCTTGCATTGCTGAGATACAGCGGCCCATCCATCCTTCCATCGATCTTGCACGTGAACCCCACCCCCTCATACGTCATGCAACCCCACACCATCACAGATCCGCCCCCGTGCTTAACTGTTTGTTGGACTTGATGGCTCTGGAGGTTGGTGCCATCGCGAATCCAAGCGTACGCACGTCCGTCAGAGCAGAAACGGTTTCTCTTAGTCTCATCAGACCAAATCACGCGCTTCCAGTCCTCCATCGTCCAGTCGGCATGCGACCTCGCGAAATCCAGCCGATCACGTATGTTTTTCGCAGAGAGCCTGGGTTTCTTGGGCTGCTGCACAGCGATCAGGCCCGCAGATCGTAACGAGTTCTAGTCTACAGCCAGAGCTTGTCAACCCCTTAGCACAAAAGCACCTTGTATCACACATTCTAGTAATTCATTTATACTTTGATAGATTTCACCCTGATTTGTAAGGGTGCCAGAGGCCCCAAAAAACCTTTTTACCCTTACAAAATCAGGGTACACTCTAAAAAGTGGCCGCTGGCAAGGGTGTGTTAGAATGGAAGAATGAACTAGAGTGTGAGAGTACATGGCAATAAAGGCTAGCGTGTTGTACCCTCTAAGGCACAAACCTATATAGTCTACAATAACATACTAAGATATGCTTGACACAACCCCTAGACTATATAGGGGCAGTGCGTAACAAGAGAACAAGCAGCTCAGGGTGGCACTACTAGTCCAGCCTCTGAGGCAAGGGTCTAAAGAATACTCAAAAGGAGTACAAACAAGAACAGGACCAAGACCAGGGCGGCACTACTAGTCCAGCCACTGGGAGAGGCCACAAGGCTAGTCTGGGTAATATATATATACAAAGGTCTGTACACAATCACAGCCCTAGCAAATGAGAGGCTACAGGAACAAGACCAAGCTGTACACAGTGCCACTGATGATCTTTAGGCGCAAGCACCTTCGAAAAGATATCAGCTGTATTGGCACCGGAGGCCAAGTGTACTACACGGGCCTGGCGATGCTGCTGCAGCTCGCGCAGGAGGATTTACCGTAGCTGGATGTGCTTCGCCCTGCCCTCAAGTTGAGGCTCCTGACACAGGAGGATCATGGCCCTGTTGTCAGCGTACAGGACCGGGGGAGAGCTAGGCCGCTCACCTAAGTCAATGAGCAAGAAGGTCAGCCAGCGGAGCTCCTGTGCCACCATGGCACCGGCGTAGATCTCAGCCTCGTAGCTGGACTGGGCAACAGACGAGGAGCGGGTAGCTCTCCACGAAATAGCACCTGAACCAAGGCTAAAGCAGTAGCCCTGAGAAGACCAAAGAGTCCCTGCGTCGTCTGCCCAAGAAGCGTCTATGTTCCGAGTAAGGACCACTGGCCTGCGACCTCGCAGCACTAACCCCATGCCTGATGTACTTGCAAGATAAAGCAAAACCCTCTTAGCGGCAGACTAGTGCTGTGGTCGTTGTCTGCCTGTGGTCACAAAGCGAGCCAGGATGCTGAGAGGGTATGCGAGATCTGGGGGAGTGCAAATCATCAAGTACATGAGGCAACCCACCAGCTCCGCGTACGGACCACTGGGTCTGCTGACTCCTCAGGAACAGGAGCTGAGAGCCTGTGGTCCACCGGCAGAGGTGTGGGCTGTGCAGAGGAAAACTGAAGACCGAACCGCTGAAGGACCTGGCGCACCAAGTGTGACTATGAGAGTGTGATGGTGTGCGCTGCTTTGTCCCTGGAGATCTGCATGCCAAGGTAGTGGCGCAGTTCTCCTAGGTCAGTGCAGGTGTGTCTCTTCAGCAGCTCTGCCTTCACGAAAGCCAGTGCGTCCCTGTCTGCAGTAGCAAAGACCAGGTTGTCTACGTAAACAAGGATGTAGAACGGGGTCTGGCCAGCACGAACGAAGGGCGAGGGGTCGGCAGAGGACGGGAAGAACTGCAGGTCAGCTAGGGTAGCACGCAGCGTGTCGTGCCACTAACGAGGTGCCTATCGTAGGCCGTAGACTGGGCGCCGCAGGAGCCACTGAGTCCCAGGAGGGAAGGTACCAGTAAAGCCCTCAGGGCGGCTTAAGTAGACCTGCTCGTGTAGACTGCCCTGAAGAAAAGCTGTGTAGAAGTCGAGGGAGTGTAACTCGTAGTCGCGCTGTGCTGCTATGTGTAGCAGAGCCCAAAGAGTAGTCATCTTCAAGGTCGGCGCGAAGGTCTGAAAGAAGTCCTCCCCCTCACGCTAATTGAAGCCTCTAGCCACGTAGCACGCCTTGAACACAGGTGGCTCTCCAGGGGGGCGCGTCACCTTGAAGAGCCAGCGGCCATCGACTACGTTCACCCCAGGTGGGAGAACTGCGTCGACGTAGGTGCTGGTGGATCTCCAAGATGCCATCTCCTGCTCCATGGCAGCTATCCACTGAGAGGCCCAGGGTCCCGAGGTGGCCTCAGAGTAGGAGCGAGGGGTCGGGATGTCTAAGGCGTCTGGGTCGCCCTAAGGGACTAGCAGTATGGAGCAGAGATGGGGAGCAGCCTCAGACAGGAAAGCAAGCTCATACTGCCGGTCCTCCAAGTCGTCACTGCCGAGGGCAGGAGCACCCCCGACGGACAGAGGAAAGGCAGGGTCAAAGACCAGAGCGGTGGCGTAGTCAAGGCGGCGGGTAGAGGCGAAGTCAGCGACAGCAACGACAAGAGCGTCAAGGCACGAGGTCGGAACAGACGGGTCGGTAACGAGGGAGGCAAGGACCCGAAGAACAAGACGACGAGCGGCACGAAGGTATTCAGACTGAGGGGGAGGCGCGACAACAAGGGAGGACGGAGGAGGCGACCCTGTCCAGAGTAGGGTCGGCGAAACCTGCGGCTGCTGAGGGTGCGGCCACAGGTTAAGCTGGTGAGCGGCGTAGCGAACGGCGAACGGCCACAGAAAATGGGGTGCACCGGCATGGATCATGGAGGTACGAGCCACCTCCGTGACCAAACCGATGCGTCGCTCAGCGACCCCATTCTGCTGCGGGGAGTCCGGCAGGGTGAACGTCTGGGTGATGCCCTCCGCACGACAGAAGCGACCAAGGCAGCTAGAGGCAAACTCGCCACCACGGTCGGAGTGAAGACGCAAGACAGGGAGACCTTGGTGAACACGCGCAGAGACAGGCCATGGGATAAGAACGTCAGGTACGTTGGCCTTCTGCTCCAAGGGAAACATGGTGGTGTAACGCGTGTAGTCGTCAACAAGGACGAGGAAGTAATGCTCACGATGCGGCCCATGGACGGGGGCAGGGCCCCAGACGTCCATGTGCAGGGTCTGTAGCGGTGCGGCGGTTGGGGGGAACGAGGAGGAGTGAGGGGCAGGGCGAAGCCGGCCCTCAACGCAGGGGGTGCACGGTGGCGTGGGTGAGGAGGGGAGCTCGGGGAACGACCCAGGAAGACCTAAAACGAGACTGTGCTGAGACATGTGACGAAGACGTGGGAGGGCAGGGTGACCTAGACGGTGGTGCCACAGGAGTGTCGGGTGAGTAAGCGACCGACACGAGCAAGCCGCAGCTACCTGAGGAGACACGGTCACCTGGGGATACGCCCCAACCGGGGGGGGCGCAGTGTCCAGCTTGAACAGGCCGGACACCGGGTCCAAGGGGAACGTGGTGAGGGGAGCACCAGTGGCGGCCTCAGTACAGACAGCGTACCGCTCGTGAACAGGGAACGTAGTGGTGACGCCAAGGTCTTGGAGACAGTCGACACCAAATAAGTTCTTGGAGAACAAGGGGATGTGCAGGCCTGTAAGAGTGCCCGAAGAAGCTGCCGAACAGGGAAGGGTAGTGGAGTTACGAGCTACGACAGGGCCTGAGGAAGGGTCAGCCAGGGAAACTGCGGCGGGAGCTGCAAGCGGCGTGGGAATAGTGGAGTCCCGGAAGAAACACCGGGAAGCGCCGGAGTCCAGGGTGAAGGAGAGTGCAGCAGAGGCAGGAGAGGTCGAGGAAGCGACGGAGGAGCCTAGACTAAACAAAGCAGGGGATCCTACGCCTGACGCAGCAGGGGAGTCTAAGCTAGGCACACCTGCACCAGGCAACACGGGGTAAGCAGGACCAATCACACTAGAGTCATCGACATACAGAACATACAGCGCAGAGCTAATCTCATCCATGTCCATATCAAAGACTTGAACACCCCTACGGAGTAAGGTGAGCTAGTCGGGAAGGTCAGGCGATGGGCCAGAAGGAAGACGAAACAGGTCGTCAAGGCGACTGAAACAACGAGTGGTGGTGTGACCGATCTTACCGCACACGAGGCCACGACGAGGACCGGTCTGAAGCTGGTACTGGCAGCGCCCGTCGCCCGCACCACCACCCGCCGTCACGCCGCGCGCACGACCACCGCGACCGCCACCACCACCAGTGCCGGGCCACTCGGGCGGGAGACGACCAATCCGCCGCTGCTGGTGCTGCTGCTGTTGCTGTGATGGCTGCTGCTGCTGGTGCTGTTGTGGCTGCTGCGGCTGTTGGTCGAGCGAGGGGACCTGCTGCTGCTGCTGGGACTGCTGCTTGGTGGTGCTAGGCCCGGTGCCCTCATCAACACCCCCTGCGGGCGACCCGGCTCCACCACCTCCCCCACCCCAACCACCCCCTCCACCACCACCGCCGCGCCCAGCCTTAGGGCGGCGGCTCTTTCCAGGACGGGCCTGTATTGCGGCGGCCGTCTCAGCCACGGCAACAGAGCCGTCAGAGAAAGTGCACTGAGCGGGCGCACAGCCCTGAAAGATAGAGACCGGCACTGTGCTGCTGGAATGTGCGATAGAGCGCTGGCGGGTCTCTATGGCAGGCAGGGTGTCAACAAAGTCAGTGAGGGTGAGGTCTGCGGGGAGGCTACTAAGAAAGTGATCGCGGGTAGTAGCAAGGCGGTCAGGGAGGCGGGTGGCAAGCAGGTAGAGGGCATGCCAGAGGGGGGGCTGAAACACAGAGAGCTGGGCCTCAGTGCAGGCTGAGCACCAGGTCGAGTCTAGCGTGCGCAAGTGGGCGGCGAGGTCCGCGACAGTGGGGAAAGACGCGGGATCAGGGAAAAGTAGGGGCAAGATCAGGCGGCCTACGGAGGCAGAGGACGGGGTGGAATAGCGAGCAATGACAGCATCGAGAAACTCCAGTGCGGTCCTGATCGACCTAAAGCGGGGACGCTCAGACACGGCAAGCTGGGCAACAGCGTCACGTGACAACCAGACCGAGCGGGCAAGGGCAGCAGCTGCAGCGGACTCGCGATCAGCAGACGTGGGGTTAGCGGGCAGCGGAGCAGGGGGGTCAGGACAGGGGAGCGTACCATCAAGGTGGACGGCCAGGGAGTGGCCGTTCTGCCGCTGACCTGTGAGGTGACGGCGGAGGTCGACGAGCCATGTGTCGAACTCGATCGGCTGACCCTCCGCGTCAAACCGCAGCACAGAGTCCGCCATCAGGAGCGATGCAGCTGCAGTGCAGCTGCAGTGCAGGGCGGTGCAGTGCAGTGAAGTGCGGTGCAGTGCAGTGCAGGGCAGTATAGTGCGGTGCAACACGGTGGAGCGCGGTGCAGGGGCCGGCTACACAGGACGGGCGAGGGCCGGGGACGGGACAGGCGCGGGCCAGTCACGGGGCGGGCGCAGGCCGCTACGGGGCGGGCGCAAGGCCGGAGAAGGGACGGGCGCGGGCCGGGGACGGAGCGGGTACGGGGGCTGGCTACAAGCGGGCGCGGGGGCCGGCTACGAATGGGCGCAGGGGGGGGGGGGGGGGGGGGGGCGGCTACGGACGGGCGCGGGGCCGGTGGATAGACGGGCGTGGGGGCCAGCTACGGACAGGCGCTGGACGCTGACACGCGGGTACAGGGGCCGGCTTCGAACAGGCGCGGGGGCCGCTGCTGACGGGCGTAGGGGCCGCTACTGACGGGCACGGGGGCCGCTACTGACGGACGCGGGGGCCGCTATGGATGGGCGCGGAGGCCGCTACGGACGGGCGCGTGGGCCGGTTTCGAACGGGCGCGGGGGGCAGCTAACGGACGGGCGCGGGGGCCAGCTAACGGACTGGCGCAGGCCGGCTAACGAACGGGCGCGGGCCGGCTAACGAACGGGCACGGGGCCAGCTATGCGACGGGCGCGAGAGCTGGTGATGGGGCGGGCGCGAGGCCGGCTAGGGGACGGGCGCGGGGCCGACTACGGGACGGGCCCGAGGGCCCGTGACAGGGCGGGCGCGGGTCAGCTAAAGGACGGGCGCGGGCACGGGCCGGCTAACAGACGGGCACGGGGCCGACTACGGAACGGGCGCGGGCCGGTGAAAAGGGGGGCGCGGGCCGGCTAACGGACTAGTGACGGGCCGGCTAGGGGAAACGGGCGGCTAGGACCTAGGGCGGAAGCGCTGGTGGGCGAGTGGGACCTAACCTACTCATGATACCATATTAGAATGGAAGAATGAACTAGAGTGTGAGAGTACAAGGCAATATAGGCTAGCGTGTTGTACCCTCTAAGGCACAAACCTATATAGTCTACAATAATATACTAAGATATGTTTGACAGGGTGATCAGGGTGAAATACCCTTGAATCACTGGCCCTGTAACGGGGGGACATGAGCCATATGATCACACTCATTGTCACGCCAGCTGTGTGCCACAGGCCTCTTACTCCAAAACAGAGCCAAGGGCTGGCTGGCTGGCTCCACAACGCAGAACGTGGCTCTAGTCTGGAGTAAAGCAGGTAGCACTAGTAGTTTATTCGTGTAACTCATGCTGCTTGCTGCTGCGGGATGTTCCAAAGACCTGGCATCGCAACAACAGCTCGCACTTCTTGGTCAGCAGCATGCGAGGCCCCACCCCACCTGCAACTGTAGGAATATTTACATGCCACTTGCTTGCTGCTAAACTGTACCAAGAGCCAGATGGGTGTCACGTCACCGTGTCAGTGAGGTGGTATTTAGATATCTACTACCCGTACTACCACCTCCAGCATGGGCCTGGTGGCAGAAGGTGTTGCTTGCTTGCTACACTCGTGCATTCCACCTGCATCAGACCGGACCGGAGTCCAGACGAAAGCCCTCTCCTCTGGCTGGTGCTTGATGAGTGGAATGGAGCGACAGAATGCATGCACGCACATGGCCGCAGGTGGCAGTTGTCCAGGTATTCGTTTCAAGAATTAGATGAATCCAAGAAAGCAAGGGTCTAGGTGTTAAACCAGGAGCCAACAGCCAGGAGTTGTCATTGTCATGTAGCGCTGCTGCTGCTGCTGCTGCTGCTGCTGCTGCTGCTGCTGGTGTCTTCGTTGAAGTCAAAAGATAAGGGTAGTATTCAGCAATGCTGCGTGCTGCTGAGAAGGACTCTTGAGGCGCCTCAAAAATAGTATTCAGCAATGCTGCGTGCTGCCGAGAAGGAACCGCTGCCAGTAACACTGCAGTGGATGGAGGGTCGGGGGTTGCCTCCAACCTTCCCCTTTCTCCCTCTCCCAGTCCTCTTCCTCCTTTCCCGTTTGCCCTTCTTTCCTCATTCCTCGTTCCCATTCCCATTTCTCCTTTCCCCTTTCTCCTTGCCTCCTTCTCCTTTCCGTGGCAGCTGTATCCTGTAGTACCATGGCCATTGGCGAACAGCGAGAAGCCTTGAGATGGAAAGAAATATCAGAATGACAGCAGTTGTAGCACCAGCCTCCCAAGCCGTGCATTCTGAGTCGCCTAGAGAAGACGCTTGGAGCAAGTCAGTCTGTCGCCTAGGGGTTTATCGTGCTGCTGCCGCCTGTCAGGAAGTCTAGAAAGCCTACACTAGACACAAATGGGTCCCTCCCGTGTTGTAGAGCATTGAATAGAGATGCGGTGGAGGAAGCGGCACTGAACACTGGAGTTTATCCTCAACCTTCTCCTGTTCAACACCACTGTGCCAAACTGAGGCCAGTCAAGAGCCAAACCAGAGAGCAGAGGCGGCTGAAGATGGTTGGAGATTCTTGAAGACAATGATTGTTGAAGACAATGATTGTTGAAGATGGAAGAATCTTGAAGCACTCGGCACTTGGCGTGTGGCCACAAAAGCCATATGGAGAGAGATGCCGATTCACTTGTATGGGAGCAGAGCAGACATGGAAGACAGGCTGCTTTCTTTGAGAATCAGTTGAGGTAGCCTCGGCACCTGGAGGCACCAAGGGGGAAGGGGGAAGAAAAGGGGGGAGGGGGGGGGAGTGGAGAGGATCAGATGGGTTGGGATGGGTTCAAGAGGGTTGGGTTGGATGGGTGAGACCCACCAGCGAGAGCTAGCCATACAAGAGGAGAAGGTCACTTCTCAGACAGGCGCAGCCTCACTTCCTTAAAAAGGCAGAGGCAGGGGATCTTGGTGTCATCCTTTATCGGAAACTTGTAGTCATAGCGGAGGTCCTTCCGCGCTTGACTGGCGGGCAAGAGAACCAGCAAGAAGCAGGCTTGAAAGAGGAACCTCTGAAAGGCAAACCCAGGGGACTTATACCCCTGGAGAGGCACAGGCAGGGGATATTGGCGTCATCCTCTATGGGGAAATTGTCGTCGTAGCTGAGCTCCTCGCCCGCTTGTATTTACCGCTTGTATTGATTTTGAGAATTCTAAAAAACACCTTCTATGGCCTCACCAGCAGAGCACACCAAGAACTAGTAGCAAGAACTAGCATGTGAGAGGAACCTTTGAATGGCAAGCACAGGGGACTCACTTCCTGGAGAGGCGGAGGCAGGGGAACTTGGCGTCATCCTCTATGGGAAACTTGTAGTCGTAGCTGAGCTCCTCCCCCGCTTGTATTGAACCGTCAGAGGAGCACCAGCAGCAAGAAACAGCCGTGTACGAGGAAAACATGGGGCTTACTTTCTGGAGAGGCAGAGACAGGGGATCTTTGCGTCGTCCTCGATGGGGAACTTGTAGTCGTAGCTGAGCTCCTCGCCCACTTGGATCACCCTCTTGGAGTAGATGACTACGTGCTTGTGCCCCTCTGCCACTATCACCTTGGTGTAGCAGTTGGGCTGGAGGGGGAGATAGGAGGGATGGGAGGGAGGAGGGACGTTAGGGTGCATGGGAGGAAGGCAAGGGATTGGCCTTCTTGCAATAGATCACCATGTGTGTGCGCCCCTCTGCTACTATCACCTTGGTCTAGCAGTTGGGCTGAGCTGGGAAGACCACTAGAAGTTCACATACAACACATCAGTCCTATTAATAACAAATAATAACTAGGCTTACCTGGCGGCTGTGCATGAGTGATGCACGATCGAGTGTGGGTTGACTGAGTTATGTAAGTTTGATTCATCAACCAGATCGCACCACACGAGTGGTTCTTGAGAATTCAAAGAAGTTTGTCAATGCGCATGACTAAACGCACTCAAAGCCTCACCACATTCCCTATAATCACTCACATCACAAGAGTGGTTGATGAATCGAGCGAGACCGCCGCTGCGAGTAGCATCCACCTGATCAATGGCAAAGGGGGGGAGAAAGTACGGATGGGGAGAAGGGTGTTCTTGAGAAGTCTCAAAAACACCTTGCATCCACCTAAGCAGTGGCAAAAGGGGGGAGAAAGTACGGACGGGGAGAAGAAGGGTGGGGGGGGTTGGTGAGACCCTAAGTAGCCACAGCGAGTAGCATCCACCAAAGCAAGACCAAGGGAAGAGCAACAAGTGCGGGTGAGTAGGGGAGAGGGCGAGGTATGGGGGAGGAGGGCAAGGGAATACTCAAGGATGCCCCGTACTTGTTTACCTTATTTTATTTTATTTTCTTCTATAGAAAAAGAGCCATGCCATTGCCATCACGTCACAGTGAAACAATACATACCTCCTACCACCATGCACCACCACATCCCCACCACTCACCACCACATCCTCATCCACTCGAAACAGATAGCTGCTGCCAATGCCATCCGCCTCATACATCTTCTCCCGTAGCTCCGACACCTGATGTGTGTATGTGTGCGGAGGGGGCAAGGGGGAAAGGAGTGGGGAGAGGGGTCGTTGATAGTAGGTGAACTGCTGCCAATGCCATCCGCCCGCCTCATACATCTTCTCCCGTAGCTCCGACACCTGATGCATGTAGCAGGTGTGTGTGTGGGGGGTTGAATAGCAGAGGTCGAGGAGGGATTAAGTTGCGGGTAAGACGAACAGAATGGATCCGGCTCCTCACCAGCTTCAGGCTCTACGATCGCTTCAGACTCTAAGATCGTTCCAGGCACTCACCCCGATCGGCGAATATTAGTCCCCGTGTACTCGATGATGAAGTCGCCCGCCTCGATCCTCTCCAGGGACAGCAGCTTCAGGCTCCTCACCACCTTCAGGCTCTACGATCGTTCAGGCACTCACCGATCGGCGAATGATGGTGCCGGTGTACTCGATGATGAAGTCGCCCGCCTCGATCCTCTCCAGGGACAGCAGCCCCCACCCGTGGATCCGGCTCCTCACCAGCTTCAGGCTCTTCTTCCGCCCCTTGAGCTGCTTGAATCGCACCCCTTCCAACCCCTCTGAACCCACCGCTAGCTGCCGTAACAAAGCTCTACTGCTCCTGGCGCTGCCTAGAAGGGATGGGCCACTCCCCACACCCGTCCCCGCACCTGCTCCCTCCCATGTTTCCTCCCCTGCTGCTGCTGCTCCCCCTCCAGCCAACCCCCCCGTTCCGTCCGAGAATCCCGGGAGCTTCGCTTGGGAGAGGTGGGAGAGGTTAGCCCGGGAGAGCAGGCGGGGAGTCCGCATGGATACGCCTGTGCCTGGCCCTGACCCTTCTGCATCTGCTTCTACTGCTCCTTCCCCTCTGTCCCCTTTATAGTACGCCTCGGCTCGCTGCTTCAGGGCCTCTTTCTGTGCGGCTTGCTTCACGTGCTCCCTCCATTCCCACCCGCCCCACTCCACACGTGCACAGGTCATCCTCTCCTTGCCCCTCCTCTCCCTTTCCCTCCTCTCCTCCTTTCTCTTCTCTCTCTTCTCCCTCCTCTCCCGCTCTCTCTTCACCTTCCTCTCCTCCCAAATCTCCTCCTCTTCCTCCATCCTTTTTTTGTGCCTCTTCCTCTGCTTCTCCTCCTCTTCTTCTCCCTCCTCCCAATGCATCCCATCACTCCCCCCACTCGCCTCTCTTAACGCTGAAAGCTTTCCCTCCGGCCCTCTCCCCAACAGCACCCCCTTTCTCTCCACATCGTCCTCCTCTTTCCCAGAATCTTCCTCTGACTCACTCCCTTGCCCAAGGAATGCAGTTGATTCTTCCTTTTGCCGAGTAGCCAGAATCAACTGCCTCTCTGTTCGGGCGCGGAAGGAAGCAAAGGCAGAACTCTTTCCTGCAGGTGGAACGGACCCCGGAACTGAACCGGACGCAGCAACATCAGCAGTTGCAGCAGCAGACATATCAACTGAACCATGAATGGCACCAGCTGAAGCCTTCTGCAGGTATCGCATGAGCTGGCGCTCTGTGCCAATAGGAACGCGCCAGCTGGCTTCCTCCTCCTTCTCCTCATTGTCCTTGTTTCCGTGCTCACTGTCACTCCCTTCTGCATCTTTCCCAGCACCCTTCCTTCTTTTCTTCTTCCACTTGCTCCTCCTGCCTTTACTCCCTCCTCTGGAATCTTCCTCACTCCCCTCTTCCCTCTCCCTCTCCCCTGCCTCACCGTCTCTCTTTCTTTCCCATTCACCCTCCCTTGCACCAGATGCACCTGCACCAAATGTTCCTTCCTCTGCCCCTTTTCTCTCACCGCCCCCTTCCCTCCCTGACTCTAGCCACGATTCGTCCGATGACCATTCTGCAAACCTTCTCTTCCTCCTCCTTTTCTCCTTCCTCCTATGCCTTCCCTTTTCTTCACCGCCCTCCCTACCTCGCCTCTTCTCCCTCTCCTTCTCCCTCTCCCTCTCCCTCTCCTCTCTCTCCATCTCCACCTGCTTCTCTCTCATCCTCTGTCTAAGCAACTCCTCCCTCCACTCATCCTTCCTATGTATCGTCATAACCCCTTCTCGTCTTCCCTCCCGCCCTTCATCCCTAACCCTCCCTTTAAACTCACCCCTCTCCTGGCCTGCTCCCTGTCTATAAGCACCATCGTCTGCTGCTGCATGACAGTAGCCACTCTGAACCGCTTCATGCCTATAAGCACTCTGGTCCATGTGATAATACGACGGCCCCCATCTGCCCATTCCTCTTCCCTCCACTCCTCCCCTCCACTGTTCTTCTCCTCTACCCTCTCCTTCCCTCTCTCCCCTCCCATCTCCTCCCCTATCCCTTCCCTTTTCCCAGCCTTCCCCTTCCTTCCGTACCGTACCTTGAGCTGCTTCGAGCCCCTTGCTATCCTTCGAGCCCCGTACAACCATCTCTTGCACTCCCATCCTACCCTCTTTCTCCATCCTCCCTCCATCACCCCTCATTGCAGCAAACTCGGCCTGCAGTCTCTGCTCAAAGGTCATCATAAACAAATCCTTTTCCCCCTCCTCCTTCACCTTACCACCAGCACCTGCTGTCCTATCCCCACCCACACCACCACGCCCAATCTCCCCACTACCCCCTGTCAAGCCATTACCACTACCCTTCCCTTCACCCCTCTCCCTCTTTCCACTCCCCCCACCACCACCCCAGTCGAGGAAGCTACCTCTGTACCCTCCAGTCTTGCCCGCTTTCACATTTGACGCCCGCTGATGACCACTCAACACAGTATCACATCTACTCGCATCGGGACCCTTCTCACCACCCTCCTCCTTTTCCTCCTTCCCCACCTCTCTATTCTCAGTTGGGCCTCCTCTTAACCCCTTCTCCCCTTCCCTTCCACCTTCTAGAGCCACTGTATGAAGGGAAGGGGCGATTACTGCTGCATCCTCAACAGCAACCGCCCCTGCATTGGAATGGGCGACCAAGTCAAGTCCTTTAAGTGGCTTCTGCGCCGACTCAGCCTCTCGTTCCAGTTGGCTCGGTGGAAGTGCTTGATGTACTAGGCTTGGCTTTTGCTTCATCCCCATAAGGGAGTCAGCACCTTGCCCTTTTGTTCCAGATCTTTGAGAATTCTCAAAAGTCGCTCGCACAGCACGCCCTTCCTCAGGCGACTTGTAGGCCGCCTCAACAACAGCTGCTTCTTCCACTTGGATGGGCTTTGATTCGAGGCATACCAAACCGCTTTCCGATTTCAAACCAGCCACCTCACCCTTCTCCTCAGGCAACTTGTGGTTGTGAGCAGCCTGTGGTGCTTCGCCAGCCTGTGGTTCTTCTCGAGCTAGTGGTTCTTTGTCTCCAGCCGATTCTGCTTCGATCGGCTTCGCTGCTTCCCGCTTGCTCACTGTACAAAGCTCAGGTTCGGCAATCTGAGCTGGCAAGGCCAGGCTCGGTTCCAGGAGACGCAGTGGTTCGGAAAGCTGACGAGGCGCACGCCGAACCACAGGACGACCCGGATTCTTAGGCTTGGAGTCCAGCCCCTCGGCTGCCAAAGCTGCAGCTTCGGTTCGGAGAGCCGAGCCGAGGGACATGTGGTGGGTGATGTTGGCCCATGAGACGAGGTGCAGAGAGGGGGTGAACGAGGGGGAGGTGTGGCGAAGGATGGAGGTGGATCGTGGGAGGTATGAGGGGGGGAGAGGTGGCTGTGATTGGCCAGAGAGCGGGCGGGAGAGTGATACTGAAACCTCCCTCCATTGGCCGCTGCTTAGGGCCTGATGAAGGGGAACGGGTAAGAACAAGGGACAGTAAAATGAGGATAGAAAATGATAAAAAAAAGGGTACATTTTCGGTTGAAACTACATGAGCCATGGAAAAAATACTCTGGAAAATAGAGACTCACCCTTAGCATAAATCGGCCCAGAAGCAATTCCTCCCTCTCTTGCCCTTCCATCTTCTCCATTCCCTCCTCTCCATCCCCCTCTGATACCCCTCTCGCCTCCCCCTCCCCTTCCACATCCCCCTCTTCTCCTTCACTCCTCTCCCTTTCTTCACTCTCTTCGTCTTCCTCCTCTTCCTCCTCTTCCTCCGATTCCTCCTCGCTCTCCTCCTCCTCTTCGTCATCCTCCTCCGCGTCCTCATCATCCTCCTCCACCTCCTCTTCCCCCTCCCCATCCTCTTCCTCCTCATTCTCCCTCCCTTCCCGCAGCGCAGTCCCAGTACCAAGAACGCCGACACCCATTCTTTTGGGTGCCAGCGCCAGCTTGGGTGTTACTCCCTCCCATGCTGCTCTCACATTGCTGCCGCTCAGCAGCGTCTGGAGAGCGGACAGGGGCTGCGCCGTCAAAGATTCCTTCCTCTCGGCCGTCCTTTTCTCGTCCGCACTCTGTTCACCCGCAGACCTATCATCCTCGCTTCGATCATCCTCACTCGACCCACCTTCGCACTCAGCTGTACCTGCCTCAGTGCCAGCCTTCCCCCCTGTCGTCCTGTCGTCGCCATGCGACAGTATGGTGTCATTCTTCCTCTCATGCATGGTCCCACGCCTCACATGCCTAGTGTCATCCTTCCTCTCATCCTTCCTCTCATCCTTCCCCTCATGCTTGGCCTTATCCCTCACAGGAGAGATGCCGCTGGGTGAGCCTGTGGTGATCACCCCATTCCTGCGACCGGGGATGGTTGGCTTGTCGTCACATAAGGACCCCACAACCTGATCAGCTTCTCTGGACGACTGGCCCTGATTCTTATCTCCCCCATCCCATCCCTCATATCCTTCGTTCGCATCCCTCGCTCTCGAATCACCCGCGGTTTCGCCCCCAATGTCATCGCTCGCAGCGCTGCCAGCATGTGGGTCCTCAGGCGTCACATCACTGCCCGCAGCAGCAGCAATACAATCCCCATCTCCATCCCCACCCTGCGCTCCAATAGACCAAGGGTCCTGTCCCACTTCCTCCTCCTCCTCCTTCTTTTTCTTCTCCAGATCATTTTGCCACTCCTTCCTCCTTCCCTCCCCAGCCTCCCTCCTCTCCTGTCCCCTCCCTTCTCCACTCACTCCGCCTCCCTCCTTTCGCTCCTCATCTGCCGTCTCCTGTCGTCTCTTCACAACAGGGCTGACGTTCTCACGTTCTCTCATTCCTTCATCATTATCCTGTGAGCGTAACCTTCTGCCTTCCTCCCTCTCCCCATTTATCTCCCCCATCACGTCTCCCTGCTCCCTCCCCACCATCCTCCCCCTCCTTTCCTTTCTCACTCGCTTCCTCCCACTCGTCTCCTCCCTCTCCCCGTCGCTATCACTCCCCTGCAACCCAGTCCTGTACTTCAGCTCGGCACGCCTCTTTCTCCCTTCTGCTCCTCCTCCCATCTCAGAACCCCCGTTCCTTCTCCCCCCTTGCACCAGCCTCATGGCAAGAGGAAGGTCATCCAAACCACTGTCACTCTCACCCTCCCTCTGCCTCTCCCTTTCCCTCTCCGTCTCCCTTCTCCTGCCCTTGTCGTTGCCCCTCTCCCTCTCCCTCTCCTTCTCCCTCTCCCTCTCCCTCTCCCTCTCCCTCTCCCTCTCCCTCTCCCTCTCCCTCTCCCTCTCCCTCTCCCTCTCCCTCTCCCTCTCCCTCTCCTTCTCCCCCTCACTCTCACTACTGTCAGGGCATCCTTTTCTCTCCATCTCCTTGTTTCTTCCCTCCCGTCCAGGGATCATCCCCTCAACGCCCTCTTCCTCTGCTGCTCCTCTTCCCTCCCTTCCTTCGCCATCCTCCTGACTCCCCTCGGTTGCGGCTCTTCCCCTCAATGCACAACCCCTATCCACCATTGCGGCACCACCTCCTAGCTCCCCCTTCCCTACCACCCTCCCCTCCACAGGTGTCCACTCCTCTCTGGCCAACTCAGACGACTCCTCAACTACACCTCCCTCCTTGCCTTTCTCCTCCCCACGTTTTCCTTCAGTCGACTCGCTGGTACTCTTCAGTTCAGAAACCAACCCTAGTGCTCCCAATTTCCCTTCCCCTCTCTCCCCCATCCCATCACCATCACTACCAGAGACACCTCCACCAATAACAGCACGGCTACTATCGAAGTCACCACATTTCTCGGCACCAACACTGTCAGCAACAGCCCCTGCTGTCTTCTTCCCCACACTCCCCTTCTGCTCCTCCGCATCTCCCCTTCGTCCTCCCTCTACTACTTCCCTTCCTCCTCCCTCTCCTAATTCTCTTCCTCCTCCTCCTGCTCCTTCTCTTCCGCCTCCTCCTCCTGCTTCTCTGCCTCCTGCTCCTACTTCTCTTCCGCCTCCTCCGCCTCCTCCTCCTGCTTCTCTGCCTCCAGCTCCTCCTGCTTCCTCTTTTCTGCTCCCACCCCCTATCCCCCCTCCTCCTCCCTTCCCCCCCCCCATCAGCAACTGCAACCCTGTCAAGATTCCCCCTGCTACACTCACTCCTGCTACAGGCACACTCGCCCCCCCTGTTCCTGCCTTGGCTTTACCCATCTCTCCACCATTCCCACTCCCACTCCCACTCCCCTTACGCGCAGCCCTTCCTTCTGCCGCCCCGCCTTCTGCCTCAGCCGGCTTGCAGGCAACAGACTCGGAGGCAGCTCCAACGGTTGTGAGATGTCTCAAAATTGCCTCATCCAGCTTGCAGGCAACAGACTCGGAAGCAGCTACAGCTCGCTCTTCCTCCTTCGCTTCCTCATCCCTCTTTCCCCTACCTGCCTTCCCCTCATCCTCGAATCTATCCCCTTCCCCTGCCTTCTCGCTTTGTCTTCCTCTACGTCTCTCCTCCTCCCCCCTCCCTCCTGGCCTGCTATCCTGAGTTCCCCATAAATCCATGTCTCTGCCTGTCTCTCGTTCCATCAGCACCTCTCTTGCTCCCTCCTCCTCCATATCCTTTGCTGCCTCCACACTCCCTCCCTCATCTCCTACCCCAGTGCCCACCCCCCCTTCCTCCCCCCTCTCTTCCCTTACTTTTCCCCGCCCTTCCTCCGCACTCCTTCTCAGCTGAAAGCCAGGCGGTACCGACATCTCAAGGTTAGCCCTTGCTCCCTGCTGTTGTTGCTGCTGCTGCTGCTGCTTTTTCTGCTGCTGCTGCCCCCAACGCTCCCCCTGCTCCTCCCTATCCCCCTCCCCCTTCAAGTTCCAGTGGTCCTGTCTCTGTGATAAAACCATGACCCTCCTCCACTCCGCCCCCTTGGAAGACGACTGGAGTAAAGACAAGGCAGAGGAGAGGGGAGGGGGCGAGTGAGGGAGAATGGGCGGAGGTGAGAACAGGTGGTGGGGAGGTGAGTGAGGGATAGTAGGAGGGGGGGAGTGAGGGAGAGGAGGAGGAAGTGGCACGGGGAGGAATGAAGGGAGAGGGTGGAGAGGAGGAGGGAAAGGAGGCTGGGAAGAAGGAGGAGGAACCGGTACTGGTGGTGGTAATGGTGGTGCTAGCCGTGGGGGGGATGGTGATGGTGTGGGCGTTGGCAGTTTCTTGGCTCGAATGCGTGGCAGGATATCAATATCCATCGATTCGAACAACAGCTTCGGGTCCTTCACCCCTTCCCTCGCCCCCTCCTTCACTCCTTCCTTCCCCCCCTCCTTTCCCCCTTCCTTCTCCCCCTCCTTCTCCCCCTCCTGCCCATGCATCTCTGCACTTGACCCTCCCTCTGCCCTCCCGCCTTTTCCCCCGCGTCGCTTATGCAATTCTGCTAGCTTCCTTTCGTGCTCGAAGTCTCCTCCTCCCCACTCTCGTGAAACTCGTGACTTCCACCCCACTGCATCAGTACCAGCAAGAGGAGCAGGAGAAACAGGGGGAGGAGAAAACGCAGCAGCAACAGGAAAGGCAGCAGGAGTGCTATCACCAGCAGCACCAGCAGCATCAGCAGCAGCAGCAGCAGCAGCAGCAGCAGCACCAGCAGCAGAAGCATTCACACCAACCAAACATGCAGCAGCACCACCAGAACCTAATGCGCTAGGGACAGGAGACGCTGCAACTGCACCAGCACCAGCACCAGCACCACCACCAGCACTAGCAGGAGCAGCAGGGGAGGCTGGAACGGCTTTAGCTGGTGATAACACAGAGGCGGGGTTAGCAAGGGCGGTGGAGAGGTGAGGGCCCACAGCAGCATTGAGGAAGGAGGGGCAGTGCAGGGACTCCAGCACCAGGGCGTGCAGACGGGTGCGAATGAGCGAAAGAGAGCTGGAAAAGATTGAGTCGAGGGAGGGGGGAAGTGGCTGGTCTTGCTGCTGCTGCTGCTGCTGCTGCTGCTGATGTGGAAGGTTGGCCAGCAAGGCCCCCAAGGAAATGGGAGGAGACTGCATGTTGCGAATGTCCGACAACTGATGGGAGGGATGGGGAGAGAGGCAAGACGGAGAGAGGGGAGACTGAGTTTCAGAGTAATAAGGCTAATACAAAGAACTGGTTGAAAGAGATTGTGACTGGAAAAGCGAGGGTGAGGAGGGGGGGTGAGGGGGGAGGGGGGAGAGGGACGAGGAGGGTTGGGCAAGAGGTGCCCCCACACTGCAGCCACCTTCGCAGCATGACAATCGAGAACAGGCCCTTGGCTGCCTGCCTGGCCTTACTTAACGATACATCCAGAATAACTCTAGCACACACCACAACCACTCATCCGGATCACAACCACAACCAGTCATCCGGATCACAACCACAACCACTCATCACACATACCATGAGGTTGGGGCATGAGGGTGCCCGCAAGACCCCGAGGGGAATGGGGCGCCTCAAAAATAGACTCCTCACGAATGGGGGGACACTGCGGCACCATCTAAACCAGCATGGCCATCGAGAACAGAGCCTTGGCTTCCTTGCCCTCACCTTAGTGCGCAAATGCAATGTACGATGCATCACACTATCCCATGCACCAGAACATACCGTGAGGCTCCGAGGTGACTTTTGAGTCGACTCAAAAGTCACATCACACTCTCCCATGCACATGCCGAGCATACCATGAGGTTGGGCATGAGGTGCCCGCACTGCAGCCACCATCTTAGCATGACGATTGAGAACGGGCCCTTCGCTGCTTTGTCCTCCCCCAGATACGTCCAAAACAACCCACTCTCCTCCTCCTCTGTTTGCTTCCCAAACACCCCCTTCTGGCCTTCCCTCTCTCCGTCTCTCGCTGCTGCTGCTGCCACTGATCCATCTCCACCAGTGGTGTTAGTGCCAGTACTCCCAACCGCTTCTGCTACCCCTGCTCCTCCACCACCCGCATGACTGATACCCTGCCTCTGCAACTCTGCTCCTCCCTCCTGCTGCTGTCTGAACTCTACCTGCTGCTGCTGCTTCAGCAGCTGCTGCTCTAGCTCTGTCGCCTGCTCTTGAGTCGCGTCCTGTTCAAATGCTGCCTGCTGCCGCTGCCGGGCCTCTGTTTCTCCCTGCTGCGTTGGCTGCTGTGCTGACGTCAGCAGGGCGGTGGACGGAAGAGACACTCCGAAGTGAAGCAGCACGGAAGGTTCCCCTTTCAGCACCCGGGCCAGGGGCATAGGCTCGGCATCCGAGCCTTCGGGATAGGCCAGGATGTGGTCCGGAGGCTCCCTGAGGTGGTTCGGATGGAGGGGAGGGAGGAAGGCAGCGATGGATGGTCGGGTGGGAAGGGAATAGATGAAAAAACAGGAGAGGAGAAGGGGAGGTAAAACACATGCAACTATGCGAAATAAATCAATTGAATCGCATTGACCTCGGCACTACAGAGAACCAACTCACCCTCCTGCGAAGTGCTGGCAGACACCATCAAACGAGAGCTGCCCACTCTATGCTCCTAGTTGCGCTTATCAGCATTTGAACAGTGGACACTCTGTCGCTCCACCTCACCCTCCAACTCACCCTCCAACTCACCCTCCAACTCACCCTCCAACTCACCCTCCAACTCACCCTCCAACTCACCCTCCAACTCACCCTCCAACTCACCCTCCAACTCACCCTCCAACTCACCCTCCAACTCACCCTCCAACTCACCCTCCAACTCACCCTCCTGCGAACTGCTGGCAGACATCGCTGAACGAGTATGGCCCACTCGTTGCACCCAGCGCCTCATCCAACAGACACCACGCATCACACTCCTCTGCACCCATCTCCACCCCCATATCTGCCACAGACGCATTTGCTGCTCCTATCCCTTCCCCCATCTCAACCGCCTCTCCCCCTCCTTCTGCTCCTGCTAATCCTGCTACTCCTGTGCTTTCTTCTGTCCTTCCTCCACCTCCTCCCACCTTCGCCCCCCCTGCCGCCTCTGGCTTCCCCTCACCAGCTGATGCCCTCTTGCAAACTGCCCCCATAAAACCAGGAGGAGCAAAGCCAGGGGGAGCAAAGCCAGGAGGAGCGTCCAAAACGGCATTAGCCTCACCCAAACTGCCCTCCCAAACAGGTTCGCTCTTGCAGATTGGCATAATGCCAGTGCTTCCCCTCTCTATGCCAGTTGCCATGGTGCTATCACGAGCACCAAGAGCCATGGCACTTTGAGGAAAGGCAGTACAAGAAGAGGAGCTTTCAAACCGTCCGCCCCCTCGTTCTCCCCACCCACGCCCTCCTCGCCCCCCTCTCCTATCCATCCACCTGCCACCACCATCACGCCCACCATCACGACTACCATCGGCCCGACCCCGTCCAAATCCCCAGCCTCTACCGCCACCACCACCACCATAGCCCCACTCGTCCATTCCTCTCATCCTCCATCTATCCTCCCTCTCCACATACTGCCCTCCCGAGTTCCCTCCTTCCCCTGCCTCCTTAACCATCCTCCCCACTCCCCGCCCCACCCATTGCCCTCTATCAAACACTCCGCCCCCCCCTCGTTCTCCAGGGTTCCACGCCCGTCCCAGCCTCCTCTCCCCCTCCTGGCCCCCCGTGTCCGACCTCCCCTCCCCTTCTTGACATGCCTGGAACGACCTGCCTTCCCCCTCGCTGCCTCTCGGGGTTCTGCCTTCTGCTCTAACTTCCCTCTCTCCCTCGCCTCCCGCCCTCCATCGGTCCCCAAGCTTATCACCCCCCCTCTCCTCGTCGTCCGAGGAATGCCCCCTCGATCGCCCACCCACCCCCCGTCGCTCGTGCCTGTTTCCCACCTCCCTTCCCCTCTCCCTTCCCCCACCCTCCTCTCTTCTCCCCCCCACCCTACCACCACCCCCAAGGTCCCACCTACCTTCCTCCACCTTCCCACGCCACCTCCCCTCCTCCTCCCATCTCCCGTGTGACCGAGGAGGAGGCCCTCCCAGGCACTCCTCGCGGCCTCTCCCAGAGGACCGTTCTGCGGAGAAGCCACCGAGCTTCCGGTTTTCCGGCGTCTCAATGCGGGCATCACCTAGAGTCCTCTCCCCTTCCCTAAAGCATGCGGCGTCACGCCTGTTGCTCTCCCTCTCCCGCTCCCTGGACCCTGCCTCTCCTGTCCCATTTCCCTCCTTTTGCACCTCACCAAATCCCCACGCCCTGTGATCTTCCCCTGCGCTTCTATCCCTCTCCCTCTCGCTCTCCCTTCTTTTGTCACCCTCGTCTTCTCTCACCCTGTGCTTCTCGCCATGTTCCCTTGGCGTATAGTTTCGCCTGCTAAGGTCACTGCTTTTATAATCACGTTCTGCCGATTCGCCTCCCAAACGCCCTTCCCCTCCCACCATCTCTCTCACACCTTCCTCTCTCCCTTTCCCTCCTCCACTCTCTCCCCCGTCCTTCTCTCCCCTACCCTCCCCTCTTCCTTTCCCTCCTCTACTCTCCCCTCCTCTTCGGTTGTCCCTTAGTGCCTGCACCTCTTGGACGGCTCTCCCCTGAAGGGACGATGCGATGATATCCCTCACATCCACTATCTTAATCGCCTCGTTCGGCAATCCTTTCCTCTTGTTCCTCTCGCCTTCCCTTCTCCCCCTCTCTTCTTCCCCCCTCTCCCTCTCCGCTTCCCGTCTCCCCCTCTCTCCTTCCCTCCTCACACTCTGTTCCTCTCTCCTCCCCCTCTCTCCCTCTCCCCTCTTCAGCTCCCCCTCTCTCCTCCCAGCACCTCCCTCTCTCTCTTTCTCTCTAACCAACCTCAGTCCCTCCGGCGTTCCTCTAACCTCCTTTCCATCCCACCCTTCCAACGACCACCTTCGAGCCTTCACGTTCAGGCTTGAGGGGTGGGATGACTCGGCAGTGAGCTTTGGGTGACCCTTCCCGAGCTCCCCTTCCCCGTCCCTCTCATTCTTCTCTCTCTTCCTCCTCAGAGCAGTCAGGTCCCTGGGCCTTCGTCTATCCTCCTCATCCTCACTCCCACTGCTGCTCCTGCTCCAACTGCCACCCCTCCTGCTGCTGCCGCCCCTGCTGCCGCTCCTGCTCCTACCCTTGCGCCTGCTGCTGTTGCTGCTGCTGCTCCTCCTGCCCCTACCCCTTCCCCTGCTACTGCTACCGCTGCTGCTATAGTCATCAGTTTTCCTCGCAGCAAGGCCGCCCTTCTTCAGCCCCTTGCTGTAATATCTGTCACTGCTCCTGCTCCTGCTTCGACTCCTCATACTCTTGCCTTGAACGGGATTCCTGCCGTGCCTATCGTCCCTGCTGCTACTGCTGCTGCTGCCTCTACTCCTGCCCCTCCTCCTACTCACATTTTCGACTCTATCCCTGCTCCTGCTCCTACTGCTGCTGCTGCTGCTGCTGCTCCGGCTCCTGCTGCTGCTGCTGCTGCGACTTTTTTTATCTTTTCGTCTCTTCCCTTGTCTGGCGCCATACCCACCCTTCCCAGGTTGCTCCCGCTCGTTCTTACCCCGTTTCGCAGAATCTTTAGGAACGACTTTCCGCGAACCCCCCTCCCCCTTGTTGCTCACGTCATCGGCCCTCCTCGATGACGTCATCCTCCCATGCTTAGTCTGCTCAGTCCCCTGGTAGCCGTGCGTCGACTCCTCACGAAATCAAGTCTCCTATTGTCATTCCCGCTGCTGTCACATCAGATGTTATCGCTGTCGCTTCTGCTGCAATCACTGCGCGCGTCGCTATGGCTGCAGCATCCCTCGGGGTAAGTTGGTTCTTGAGAATTCTCAGAAACCAGCATCCCTCGGGTTTATCGCTCCACCCTTCCCGCGTCGCTCCACCCTTCCTCCGGACTAGTTCCTTCCAGGTCTTCTCCAGAACCTTTGCTCCTTTTTAGAATTCTAAGGAACTGCAGCTAGATTCCAGATGTAAGCTTCGACTTAAGCTGTTTCGACGAGGAGATTCGGCAAAAGTTCGATCGCCTGGCCAGTCGCAAATAACCATATTTTTCGGGAATCAGTTTCTGTTGCAAACTACTTAAAATAGACGCGCTACTAGGATCAGGACCTCAGGAGATTAGCTTATAGACACTCTACATAGCTCCAGTAGCAGGGGGGGGCATACAGCATTACCTACAACGATTAGGTTCATAAACCAGCAAGGACAGCGGGGAACGCGGACTTCGAACAGACTTCATCAGCAGCGGAATCTTGTTCGGCGGTTTTGCGTTTTGGAAAGGGATGTGAGCTGATGTTGGATGTGACAGTATCGAGGGGGGTACGATAAGCAGATTCCCCCCTTACCATACATCATGATGGGAAAATGTTGAAGTGGCACCCTGGCCATTCCTCAGCAATATATTGTACAAAAAAATCAGGCATGCCCCAAATTGTCCCACGTCTACAGTGCAACACAAGTCACTTTCGTATATCCATCAGCTCGGCATGGGTTCGCTGTTTCGGCGGCATATAAGACGGAGCCACGCCTGTACCCACAGGAGGAGCCTTGGAATTGACAGCTGCACCCCTCGCCCCACTCCCCACACCCACAATAAGAGCATTGCCTGCAGGTTGTGAGGCTACCCCTAGAGGGTTGTCGTTGCCATTGCCAGCAGGCCTTGACCCAATAGCCATGCCTGATGCACCCCTTGCACCTCCACTGCCCATGCTTCCAGCATCGGCTGTAGGCTTTAAGTCCAGCCCAAAGGCTTTACCAGTGCCAGCAAGTCTTGAAGCCGCCCCATCTACATTAGCATAGGGCCCAGCCCCAGCCCCATGCCCAGGCCCAGGCCCACGGCCAGGCTCAGGCCCAGGCTTAGTATCTATACCCAGAGCACTGACATGTGCTGTGGGCTTCGAACCTTCAGACACAGCAACACCACCGGCAGCAGCAGGGGCAGGAAAGGCAGCAGAGGGGTGGCGAGCAGGGGTATGGAGGGAGGAGTGGGAAGGGGCAGGGACACGCGTGTGGGGGACAGGCTGGCCAGCACCACATGCTGAGGTGCCGGGTCGGCTGGTTACCGCTGCACCTGGGGGGGTTGCAGCAGCAGCAGCAGCAGCAGCAGCACATGGAGCAGATGCAGGAACGGTAGTGGTGGGTATGGTAGAGACAGGTTGACGTATGGAGGCAGGGGCAGCTGAGAGGACGGGGTTGTTGATAGGTGCCGAGGCAGGCAGAGCAGGGACAGGAGGGGCCGGGATAGAAGGAGCAGAACCCGGGTTGAGTGCTCCTGCTGCTCCTGCTGCTCCTGCTGCTCTTGCTGCTCCTGCTGCTCCTGCTGCTCTTGCTGCTCCTGCTGCTGCTGCTGCCCCTGCTGCCCCTGCTGCCCCTGCTGCCCCTGCTGCTCCTGCTGCTCCTGCTGCTCCTGCTGCTGCTGCTGCTGCTGCTGCTGCTCCTGGTGCTCCTGCTGGTGCGGAAACATCTGCGCTTCTAAAAGCCGCTGCTGCCAAATCGGCGACATCCGTAGCAGCGCCACGTGCAGTCATATCCTTCTCCACAGCACCGCTCATAAACGAATCCTTCTCCACAGCACCACTCTGAACCGAATCCTTCTCCTTATCAACTTCTGCAGAAACCACAGCACGCACAGGCGCCACTAGCGGCAGCCCTTCCATCACATCCCACCGATCAAATATCAGCCTCCCACCCCGGCCCATCCTGCCCCGCACTCTCAACTCCACACACTCTCCCTCCCTCAACCCCTCTCTCCCTCCCGAAGGCACAGACACGGATGAGGAGAACAGCGGAGGAGAGCAGAGTGACTCAGGGAGAGGCTGGTGGGAGAGGAAAGGCGGTTGAATCTGGAAGGCAGCGAGTTGCTCCAGGGGGATTGAGCGGGTGAATGGCATCGGAATGTCCGGGGGAGGGGCGCTTCTGAGAACTCGGCTCAGCCGGCCCCCTCTGGGGATCACCACCTGCCGCCGCCGTTTCTTCTTCAGCAGAGGGAGCAGGTGATCCAAAGGTGACACTGCGTCTGTAACCGGACCAGATGTTACAGTCGCCGCGTCTGGGAACCACCCTGCCCAGCCTGCTGCTGCTGCTGCTCCTCCAGGTACCATTCCCGCTGCTGCTGCTCCTGCTGGTGTTGCTGCTGCTGCTGCCCCCCAGGAGCCTCTTCGCCGGGTGACGGAGAGGATGTTGTCGAAGTGGTTGGGCGGAGGGAGGCCGCCTAGGTTGAGGAAGCCTTGGCCGGTGCTGGTGGTGGTGCCAGCAGCAGCAGCAGCAGCAGGTGGTAGGTGGATGTGAAGTTGTTGATCGTCGGATGTGGCTCGGGAGAAGGGCCTGAGGCGCGAGGAGAGGTCTGGGATGATCCCGAGGGTTTCTGCTTCTTCAATTGTGATGTCCTGGTGGCGACGGGAGAAGGAAGTCACATAGCAAGTCAGAAAATTAAGGTACGTCTGATCGGAGGCGTATTCCTAAGGCGAGAAGAGAGGTCTGGGATGATCCCAAGGGCCTCGGTTTCCTCCACCGTGACACCCTGATGGTGATGATGACGCGGAATGGAAGACACATTGGAGGGGAAGTCACGTATGAACAAACTTATGCTCATACAATGGGAAGGCAAGCGGGCTTACAGGAGTCAAGTCAAGCAGTGACAGTAACTCTTCGAAAGGGTGGAAAAGGCCAGGCATATAATTTCACACGGATGAGCACACATATGCAGAAACGTAGAATACCCATACCCGTTTTGTGAGAGCCGCCTGCTGCAGAGCCACTTCGCATTGAATAAGCTCGCGTTTCCGCTCCTCCCTCTGCAGCAATTTCCAAGGGCATAGGTATTAAACCCAAGAAAGAGGTGAGAAATCGATGAACCCAAGGAATTACAAGTTGCATCATAGCTATGCACCCAAGGCATCGGAGTCACAACTCTTCTTCACAAATTGGGAGGGAGGGGGAGAGAGATACTGCCAAGCTGCACTCACTCTCTCTACCGCCTGTGCGAGTTGCAGAGCGTCTTCAATGTTCTTCTGAACCTGCTACAAAGAGGGACGAACAAAAAATCGCCATTTGGAAAATGGGAAAGAAAAATAAAACACACGCACGAGCTTCTAATAAAAAGCTACTGACATGCCAGTCGAAACGACCATGGCAAACTTTTTTGAGAGAGAAAAAAAAAAAAAAAAACACGCATTGATGGGACAGACAGACGGACGCACCCGAACGAGCTTCTCATACGATGCCATGTCATTCTCCCTTCGCTGCATCTGCACACACACCACACGTCGGGGAATGGCCATGCAAAACGAGATCCAGCAGGTACATTAACGGCTTTGAGTCGACTCAGAAGGCGATTCAGCAAGTTTGACACATGGGAACGGCCACTACGTGAGCGACCCTAAGGAATGTAGTATGCATGCACCAGATCTATCTGCATCGCGAATGCATTCCCCATGCAGCCAAGTGGCAAGCGAACAACCAACAAGATGCACTATGAGATAGTAGGATGAATCCACAAGGGACATGAGACTAGTAAGAACCACCCACAGTGCCACGGACTAATGTAGCCTCACAAGGGAATGCTATTGGTGTCCGTGATGGTTGCAGTGCAGGGGACCTAGGTCCACACAACAGTTACCCTGCTACAATGGAGCGTATGTACCCTTCGTGTGTTGGGGCGGTGGGCCCTCTCCCTGGGTCGGAAGACTTTGAAGGGGTTGGTATCCGTGATGGCTGGCGAGGGCGTCTGAATAGACTCAAGACGTCACCACCACCACGCTGTGACAAGGAGTCTGCTATGCTACAGAAGATCGTACCCTTCGTGTGTTGGGGCGGTGGGCTCGTTCCCTGGGTCGGAAAACGTTGAAGGGGTTGGTATCCGTGATGGCTGGCGACGGCTGCAGGCGCCGCAGAATGGGCTTGCCCCACCGCTCCCTCTTGGACTTCCAGTAGTCGTACACTGCAGTGATGATCGCATGCCTCGGCACCTGCGCTCTCAAAGCCTGCTCAAACAGCAATAAGGGCACGCAAATGGTGTCCGTCCTGCGTAGAAAAATCGATCTCCCCCACCGCAGCCCTATCAAAAGCTGCAGAGCGTACTCACGCCACCAAACAGCCCAAAAGTGACTGAAACATTTTATATCTGGTATCAACTCACGCGATTGGCAACCTTCAATGCCCCCTCCCCCCTCCCGCCACGCCATTCCCACCAGAACAGGCACTGGCATCGACAGGTTGTTGCTGCTGCAGCAAAACAGACACCCTCACTCCCCCCAGAAGCATCCGTCTGATCCCCAGTTGACACCTGGCCAGAGGCAATCTTTCTCTCCCACCCCTCCCCCAGAACAGAAGGGCAGGCAGGCAGCAGAGCAGGCACTCACATCAACGGCTTGCTGCTGCTGCAGCAGAACCGGCACTCTCACTCCACCAGTTGAGCCTACACCAGAAGCGCCCGTCTGATCCGCCGCTGCCAGCATGGCAGTCCCGGCCTTCGCCCTCGCCCTGGCGTCAAGTAGCTCCATCTGGTATATCATCCACTCCAACCTGATGACGTAGCACGGGAAGATGACGTGCCACAGGGAGATGACGTGGCATGTGTTAGGATAGAGGCATGACAGAAGGCCACATGAAAGCATGCTGTGGGGGGAATAAAAAACACACGGAACATTTGCCCCCTGTGATAGCACCACCGCATTGCACCTCTCTGCAACCAACAGCTCCCAAACGGCGGCTGCAAACGGCACCCGAATGCAAACGTCAGAACCGCACTGCACCGCACTGTACCTGTCTGCAGCGAGCAGCAGCCTGTTCTGGTTGAGCACTTCCAGCCAGTCCTCATCCTCGTCGTCCAGGTCATACTCCACGTACACGCCGTCGTCCTGCCGCACTGCATGGCGGGAGGGGGGGGTGGGGTGGGGGGGGGGGGGGGTGGGGGGGAGAGGAGGGGGGAGGAACGAGGGGAAGGGGGGGAAAGGGGGAGTGGGGGGGGAGGTGTGAGGGGGTGTAGCGGAAAGTCAAAGGGAGGACAGGAGAGAAGTTGGCACATCACGGTCCTCGTCCTCGTCGTTCAAGTCATACTCCACGTACACGCCGTCGTCTTGCCGCACTGCACAGCGGGAATCCCGGCAGAATTATGAGAACCAAAGAGAAGAAGACACGTGGCGACCAGTCAAAAGGCGGTCTCATGCCGTCAAGCGTATCCAGAACGTCCCGAGGCCGAGACCAAGTCAGCCGAGTTACCAGCCGGATTTGAGAAATGCAATATCGCACCATGCTTGCTGCGAATGTACGACGACGGTTGGCGAAAGTTCGCCGGATAGAGCTTGTCGTACGCTTCGACCACGCCGCAGTGAGGCGTCGGGATCTCCACCGATGGTCCCTTCTTAGACGGTGCCGGCAGGATCTGCCACGTAAGCATGCATGATATGGACACGAAAGGCCGATGGGAAATACACGTCAGATCTGTTACATTATTTTCCGAAAGGAGTCGGTGACTGAGGCCCATATGTCGAAACATAGCGGGACCATGCAGGATCAAATCGTTTCCTTAGGGAATGACGAGAGATGTGCATTTTAGGGTTTCGGGGGAAGCTGACGGTCGACACCTGCTCGTTTTCGGCATCGAGAGCGATGTGACCATGATGGACGGTCCTCGATACGCCCTCGTCCTCCGCGTTAAGCTCGTCCGTCGATCGGACGATCGCGAGCTTCTTATTGATGTCCACAGGCCGCGGCCTGAAAGACGGACGGTTCATAGCGGGTACAGGAAACCCTAATCTGTGGTACTTGGGATTCAGCCTGATTGCTGGATTGATGGCGGATGGACATTTCAAATGTCTGAAGGTAACAGAAACATTACAGTAAATTGCGAGGTGTCAGAATTTCACATATAGATCGCGTGTAGCTACTTGATTTTAACTGAGAAGCTGCTGGGTAGATTATAACGCGAATGAATCCCAAACTCGATTTGTAAAGGTTCGTACATACGGCCTGCTCACACGGGATCAGTTTCAGACTCGGGGAGTGTAACAGTTCCTTGTTTCGATTTTCAAATATTTTTTGTAATATTTTCGCCTTGCTTCGCAACGGGAGACTCGCCACACTCATTTCAGATCTGCGATTCCTGGTTACGAATAGTTCATTCCATATCTTCGCCTTGAAGCGATACTTTGCAACGCGCTTCTGAAAAACTGCTAAAGAAATACGGCCTACGTCCCTAGCATTTTGCCTACGCCCCTGACTCTTGTAAGGTTTATTCCTGCCGGGGAGCTAATTCGTTCGAATAATTCTAGATTCCGTAGCTCTGTTTCAGCGTGGTCGTCCCGTCCACTTTAGGATCCTTACACGTGTCAGCATCCTACGACTTTCGCGCACTCCGTTTTGAATCGCGTCCGCGGCCGTCATGTTCAAAAAGTACGCCATCCTTCCTATTAATTCCCATGGCGCCTTAGACCTTTGGCTAGCGACAAGACGAGGTCGTTCAGTTTCTTCGAGGCCGCGCATCGAGCGGTTACTACGAGGCGCTTTGTGCATCCGCGGAGTTGCAATGATGATTCTGTGATTTCTTAAGAACACTGAGCACTGAACACTGAACACTATAGTTGTTGACATCCCTCGCCTCTCGTTTCCTCCCTTGTTCCCAGATTCTCCAATGAGGAGGTTGCGGGTCAGAACCAGCCACGATTTTCACCCAAATTTCTGCTCCGTGCATCCCCCCACCCGGCTCCCCTCTCCCCTCCCCCTTCCCTCCTCCCCCCCGGCCTTCCCCCCCCTCCCCCCCTCTCCCCCTCCCCCCACACCCGCCTGTGAATCACAGATTCTCCATCGAGCAGGCGGGGGGGCAGAACCAGCTGAACCCTCATGACCTCGATTTCGAACATGAATCCCCCTCCCCTCTCCCCCTACCCACCCCCCCCTCCCCCCCTCCTCCCCCCCCCCTGCCTGTGAAGTGCAGATTCTCTAATGAGGAGGTGGCGGGGCAGAACCAGCTCAAGGCGTCGGTACAGCGCAAAATACGGCAGGCAATAGCAGAGGAGGTGAGATTTAGGGAAGGGGAGGTGAGATTTAAGCGAGGGCTGACAGGGCGCAGCTAAACAATGGGAGGCTAGAATGCAAAAACAGAGCCCCCCTCTGTAACAAAAATATATTTTCTCCCCTCCCCATAAAGCCCCCCTCTGTAATAAAAAACTATTTTCTCCCCTCTCCATAAAGCCCCCCTCCCATGTGCGCCCCTCCCCATGTGCGCCCCTCCCCATGTGCACCCCCATGTGCGCCCCTCCCCATGTGCACCCCCCTCCGATCCCGTCCCTCCCTCTCCCAGTACCCGAGTCTAGACCCAGTGTTGGAAGACCTTCTGCCCAAGAAATCACCCATCGTGGTCGCCAAATGGTGCGTCTGGTGGCGGGGCGAAGGGTTGCGGGGGGTGGGTGGAGGGTGGAGGGAGGACGGGGAGAGGGAGGTAGACTGCGGTCGGCTCCCAACAAATCACCCATCGTGGTCGCCAAATGGTGCGTCGGTGGCAAATGTTGCAGTTAGGGCTTGAGGGGGTGAGGAAGGGAGGTGGGGGGGGAGAGGAGAGAGGAGGGGCTGCCTCTTGAGTCGATTCAAATGCCACTCTTTGCTTTGTCACTTGGCAATGCGGGAGCAGTTGGGACTTTTGGGGGGGGGAGGGGGTGGTGTAGGTGGGGTGGGGGGCAGGCAGACTCTGAGTTGAAAGACTAGTGGGCTTCAAGCTGACCGCGAAGTTCAGACCTGCGAAGACCTACAACCGTGAAGAATTTTAGGTCTATTTTTGAGGCGCCTCAAAAATAGTCAAGCTGACCGCAAAGTTCAGACCTATGTTGGAAAAAACGCACAGCAAGCTTTGCGTATTGCGTATATACGCTTGCGAATATACGCAATACGCTGATACGCTTGGAATACGCGATACGCAATATCGGGGCTGCCCGGCAAAAAAAAAAAAAAAATCAAAATTTTTTTGCCGAGTTCGCGACATCGCGAACTCTCAGAAATTTTCGCCCGCGGTTTTTCGCCCACCCCTCACCAGCCGTGGACGTGGAGGGAAGGCATCCCGTGTTTGTCGTCCCCCATTCCCGCCATAGTTTAGATCTGAATCACCATCTCCTTTCATTTTCCAACTCCAACCTCTCCCTCCCCTAGCTTAGCTTAGCTCAGTTCCCCTCTTACTTCACCGTAGTGGTCATGGCGTCGTCCACCCCATCAACCCCCCGAGCGTGCCCGCACCTACTAACGATGGCGAGGCTGCCTCCTCCTCCGGCACTGTTTACGTTACGGATGCGTCGCATCCTATTTTTAAGCATTTCGAAACCGCGCTTAATGCGGACGGCAAGACTACGGAAAACCGCCGCTGCTGTTATTGCGGGCACACCTTCAATGGCGGGATGACGCGTTGCGCGCAGCACCTCGCCGAGTGGAACAAACTTCGTCGTCGCGATGTGACCCTCTGCACCGCGGTGACGCAAGACGTGCGCGACGGAGTTAAGGCGCTGTACGAGGCACGAATTAGGGAGCGGGAGGGGAAGCGCGAGGCGGAGGAGCAAGCGCTGTCTGCGGTTAACGGCTGCGGCAGCGGCAAAAAGGGGCGCATCACCAATTTTTTCGGTGACGAGTCCGCCTGCCGTAAGAAGGAAGCGGACCGGGCGCTCTGCCTCCTCTTCGCTGGTCTGCGCCTGCCGGAGCATCACGCGGACCACGTCCTCTTCCGGAATGCGGTCTCCGCCATCGCTCGCGCCGGCACTTCCTACGTTCCCCCGAAGCGCAAGTACATCGGCGGTGCCGGCCTGCGCGACTGCCGCACCAGTATCGAGGCCGCGCTGGTTCCCATCTCCAGCAGCTGGCGGCGGAGCGGCGTCACCATTGCTAGCGATATGATGACGGACCAGAACGGCCGGCCCATCGCCAACGTCCTCCTTATCAACGACTCCGGAGCAGTTTTTACTGATGCTGTGGACACAAACATGGAAATGAAGACCGGCGGCTATATTGCCGGTATTCTCCGCCCTATTATCCAGCGCGTTGGGCCGGAGAACGTCGTCGCTTTCTGCATGGATGGCGGCTCGAACTACGCCGCGGCCTGCAGGATCCTAATCGCCGAGCACCCCCACATCGAGCACGTGCCATGCGCCACGCACGTGCTCGACCTCCTCATGGAGGACATCGGGAGGATGGCGTGGGCGAAGGAGGTGGTGGAGAAGGCCAACATCATCACCTCCTTCGTCCGCAAGCACCACCTCACCCGCAACTACATGCGGAGCGATAAGGTGGAGGGGGGCAAGGGGAAACAGGTGCTGAAACCGGCCGGCACGCGTTTCGGCACCCAATTCATCTCCGTGTCCCGGCTGTGCGAGGTGCGGATGTCTCTCACTCAGCTTGTGCTGAGTGAGGAGTGGGCCAGGTTCGCGGATGGGGGGAGGAAGCCGGGCAGCGAGGCGTTCAGCGCTGCCATACTCGACTCCGACTGGTGGACCAAGGCCCTGCAGTTTGTCAACCTCATGCGGCTGCCGTTCATGGCAATGCGCGCCACCGACTCGTCGGCGAAGGGCATGATGGGTCGTATGTACGACCTCATGCTGCAGCTCACCGTTGATGTCGATGAGAAGCTGGAGGAGGCGCGGCTGGAGGGGCTCACCGCTGCGGACGCCAATGCCATCCGCCGCATGGTGAAAAGGAGGTGGGACGGCAGCATGGCGTGCCCCCTCCATGTGGTTGGCCGCATCCTAAACCCGGCCAATCAGGAGGAGGGGATCTTCCCCTCGGACATGGAGTGCACGAGGGTATTCAAAGCCTTCATCGCCCGCCACTACGAAGACAAAGAGTTCATGAGGGATGGCGAGCCCATTCGTGCAACCCTCGTGATGCAAGACGGCCTCGACGCCTTCATCACTCTGAAGGGCAGCTTCGGGCTCCCCACCGCCATTGCTGATCGTGCAGCAGTGAAGGAGGGGAGGCAGAGCATGGCGCGGTGGTGGCAGTGGCATGGGTCCGACTACCCTGAGCTTGCCGCACTGGCCTGTCGGGTGCTCTCACAGCCCGTTTCAGCGGCCGCATGCGAGCGTAACTGGGCAGTGTGGGAGGCGGTCCACACTGCCAAGCGCAACCGCCTCGGTGCCGAAAAGTGTCGGGACCTGGTCTATGTGTCCCACAACTGGCACCAGGTCCACAACTGGCACAAGGAGGACGGGGGGTCCTTGGTCCTTCCTGGGTGCAGCTCCGAGGCCCCTGTGCCCACGGGGTACAACCTGGAGGACGACCTGGAGGAGGAGGAGGGGGAGGATCTCGTCATGGAGGACGAGTACCAGTAGACCCGTCACCAGAGGCAGCTGCAGGGGGAGTGGCAGCGGCAGCACCAGGGGGGCAGGCAGCTGCAGCAGTGGGAGTAACAGCAGCAGCAGTGGACCAGTCAGCAGCAGCAGTGGGCGAGAGTGGCTGCAGCAGCTGTAGAAGTAGTAGCAGCAGTGATAGCAGTGGTAGGGGCTAGCAGTAAGCTCTTGATGTGACAAATGCCTGTGTTAAGTTATTTTAATGGAGAAGAAGAAAAAATCAAACTTGATGCCCTGCCCCCCGGGCCCCCACCCCCCCTCTCCCGGCTGCCCGCCGGTTTTTTTTCCCTGCCCGGGCAAAATTTTTTTGCCTGCCCGGGCAGCCGTATTCCTGCCGTATTGGACCCCAAATCCAAGCGTATAGCGTATATACGCAAGCGTATATACGCTAGCGTATAAAACGCAATACGCGTATTTTCCAACATAGGTTCAGACCTGTGAAGACCTGTGAAGACCTGTGAAGACCTGTGAAGAGCTACAGCCGTGAAGACGTTTAGGTCTCCCAGGCTTGCAGTTGTTGGAGTTAACTCGCCCTTCCGTTCTGCTCACTCTCTATGTGAGATGTGACGTGAGCCACCACTCTATTTTCCGCTTACATCACCCATAACCTAGCCCACGCCGCTGCTACCCCCCCCCCCCCCTCCCCCACCCCCCCCGAACCGCATCCTTCGTCCTACTCCCTACAATCTCACTCGCTTGCAGTCCGAACCATGGGAGCACAGTGGTGATGAACGGCGTGCCGTTCTTCTTCAATGTGCAGGGCGCGCCTTACATTCTCTCTCTTTCTCTCATCGTACCACCCCCCATTCTCTCTCTTTCTCTCATTCTCTGCAGCCCGAACCATGTGAGCATTGTGGTGATGAACGGCGTTCCGCTCTTCTTCAACGTGAGGGACGGCCCTTACATGCCCACACTCCGGCTACTGCACCAGTGTAAGCCGCATCCCCGTTATTAGCATCCTCATTCACGACCCGAACCATGCTAGCATAGTCCCCCTCCTCCCCCCCACCCCACCCCCCCAACCCCCTCACTCCCCACCCTCTCCTCATCTTTCTCCCGCATACTCTCTCCTTCCACCCCTCTTCCCGCCCCACACCCCCCCCCCCCCCCAGCACCAGATCCCGACATGATGCACATGATCCCGACAAGCCAATTCCCCCATCCACTCCTTCTCCTAACCCGCATCCACCCCCCCCCCCCCCCCTTCCCCCCCACCCCTCCCCGACCAAAACACCAGACCCTGACATGACAGATGCGCAAGGTGCAGGTGGACAGAGGGCCGCCATCAAGGCAACCCCTCCACTCTCCCCTTTTCGTCCCTCCCTCTCGCTCTCCACATTCCCCCTCCCCCCCCCCAACACCAGATCCTGACATGATGCGCAAGATGCAGGTGGATAGATGCGCTATCAAACCAACCCCTCTATCCACTCCTGTCCCTAAACCCCTCTCCATCCCCACATCCCCCACCTCCCCCCGTCCCCCCTCCCTCCCCGCCAAAACCATCAGACCCAGACATGATGCGCAAGATGCAGGTGGATAGGGGCGCCATCAAGTTTGTGATGTCAGGAGCCAACATCATGTGCCCTGGCCTCACATCCAAGGGAGGCAGCATGGACGACGGCATTCCTACAGCCTCCCCTGTGGTAAGGCCCTCACACCCCCAGCCCACACCCCCAGCCTTCTGAGCCTCGAACCCCTACCCCACACCCTGACCCGCCTGAGCCTTGCACCACAATTGCGTGATGTCAGGGGCCATCACAAATGCGTGATGTCAGGGGCCATTTTCAGAAAAGCTCTCCTCGCCGGCACCAGGCGAGTTTAGTTTTGAGGCGCCTAAAAAAAAACCATTTTCAGAAAGCTCTCCTCGCCGGCACCAGGAGAGTTTGTGATGGCAGGAGCCCAGGCAATCCCTGTCACTCTCCTCGCCTCCTGTCTTGTGCCCAGACTGGCAATCCGTTTTCATAGAGGGAAGGAAAACATTCGATTCTGTTCCAATCTCATGACCCCACTCCCTCACCCTGCTATATGTGTTGTGCTTCCCCAGCCACATTTGCAGAGGGAAGCGGGGAGAACATCTGCGTCGTTTCACAAGTCACCTCCCCACTCCCCCCGCTCTCCCATCACCCCTCCGTGTGTGTTTTGCCGTGTGTTGCTTGCCAGGCCATGTTTGCAGAGGGAAAGGAGAGGAATATCACTGTCGATTCACAAGTCTCCTCCCCACTTCCCCCCTCTCTCCCATCACGCCCCGCGTGTTTTGCCTTGTCTTGCCAGGCCATATTTGCAGAGGGAAAGGAGACGAATATCACTGTCGATTCACAAGTCTCCTCCCCACTTCCCCCCTCTCTCCCATCACGCCCCGCGTGTTTTGCCTTGTCTTGCCAGGCCATATTTGCAGAGGGAAAGGAGAATGCACTAGCTATCGGCTACACCAAGATGTCGTCAGATGACATGTGAGGCATGGCATGTGATGCATGGCATGTGAGGCATGACATGTGATGCATGGCATGTGATGCATGGCATGTGATGCATGGCATGTGATGCATGGCATGTGAGGCATGGCGTGTTGCAAGGGATGTGAGGCATGGCGTGTTGCAAGGGATGTGAGGCATGGCGTGTTGCAAGGGATGTGAGGCATGGCATGTTGCAAGGGATGTGAGGCATGGCATGTTGCAAGGGATGTGAGGCATGGCATGTTGCAAGGGATGTGAGGCATGGCATGTTGCAAGGGATGTGAGGCATGGCATGTTGCAAGGGATGTGAGGCATGGCATGTTGCAAGGGATGTGAGGCATGGCATGTTGCAAGGGATGTGAGGCATGGCATGTTGCAAGGGATGTGAGGCATGGCATGTTGCAAGGGATGTGAGGCATGGCATGTTGCAAGGGATGTGAGGCATGGCATGTTGCAAGGGATGTGAGGCATGGCATGTTGCAAGGGATGTGAGGCATGGCATGTTGCAAGAGATGTGAGGCATGGCATGTTGCAAGGGATGTGAGGCATGGCATGTTGCAAGGGATGTGAGGCATGGCATGTTGCAAGGGATGTGAGGCATGGCATGTGATGCATGGGGTGTGATGCCTGATACGATATGTGTGGGGCATGACATGACATGACATGTTCCCATGCTGAACCCCATGCTCCCATGCTAAACCCCATGCTTTTCCCATGACCCTGCGTGCTGGCAGTCGAAAGATCAACAAGGGCATTGGTGTCGATCTCATGCACTACTTGAATGATGGACTCTGGAAGGTAGAGTTGATTTGTATGATGGTCTATGGAGGATGTTGGCATGGCCTGTAGTCGCCTTTAGGGGGCGTGTGCATCAACAAGGGCATTGGTGTCGATCTTGTGCACTACTTGAACGACGGATTGTGGAAGGTAGGGGTGATTTGGAACTATAACCAGTGGAAGGTAGGGGTGTTTTGGAACTGTGGACAGTGGAAGGTAGGGGTGGCTTGAAGTTCGGTACTATGGGCAGCAAAAGGCGGGGGTGGTTAGGAACTATGGACAGTGGCAGGTAGGGGTGTTTGGGAAGATACCTATGGGGGTCTGAGTCATGGGTCTGGGGTATGGGTCTGGGGCATGAGTGTGGGCCGTGGTTATGGGGCCTGGGGCATGTGTATATAGGCAAGGTTTGCTTTCTGACTGTCATGCATGCCCCACACCCATACGTGCATCGTATACTGTGCCCCTCATCTGGTCGCGATTATTCCCTTCTACGCTTTATCTGTGTGTTATTCTGTGTGCTTCTTTGGCGCTTGGAAAAACTGTTATCGTTCTACTACTAGCTGTATATCGTGTACTATTAAGTGTATCTAAGTTATCATTCATGTGCTTGCTTTGTATGTGTACGATTTGCCCTGCCCCTGTGCAGATGAAAACGCTAGATTAGATTCAATGGCCTAGCAGTACCTACCCACTCCCATGTATTCTCTATATAGATTCCAGAGTTGGCCGGATGCTAAAAGTTTGTGCACATGTTACGAAACCCCTTGAATTGATGTTTCTTATAGCTCTGACATAGGCTTTCCTTAGGGTGTGTGTGAGTGAGCGTTAGTTCAGAAGTGAGAGATAAGTTCACAATTGGAAGGCAACACGTTGACGCCGCTTGACCCAAGCGTATGCGTCTATAGGAGGCATACTTCACACCTCTGCTCCACCATTATTGGTGGATCCAGAACCTGATCTCACCCCAACAACCTACAGTATGCAGTATGCAAGGCACTTTCCAGCTCAGCCTGCTGTTAGACACCCTACTCCACTTAGATTTCGCATTGGGCGTATTCTTTCGCTAGGTCGCGCTCCCTGATTTCTGCGATTTCCCTGTACGGCGTTTGACTGTTTTTTTTTTTGTACCGAAGCGTTTCTCACAGTGCGAGCGAGGCGATTGAACATCAGCCGCGTCATGCGACATGGGCTCGAATGCTGAGTCATCGCCTAGCAAGCTGTCAGACAGAAAGAAAGACGCGCTCGCTCAAGCGGGGAGACGGAAGGTTCGTAACGACGACGAGTACGCCATGTCTGTTCCTCCCGTGTCTTCCGGTGTCCTCGGACACTTGCGCAGTCATAGGCATCCATCAGTGAAACTCGCAACCTTGCTGGTCATCTCTTTCACTTCTTTTTCCCCCGCCCTTCGCTCCCCCACATCTCGCATTTCCCCCTTTTTTCCATGGCCATCTCTCGTCCCACATCCCTCACCCACCCTCTCTCGCTCTCCCGTCCTCCCTTTTTTCTTTTCCCAATTTACTCCTCCAAAAATCTGCAGCTTGAGGAGTTTAGGCAGCGGAAGCGAGCAGCTGTGGCATGCACAGGGACAGGAGGCAGTGGTATGCAGCAGCCTCGCGACCGGGTGTGCAGACAAGCAAGCCTTCCTGAGAGATTAGCTGTGCATCAGCACAGGACTAGAAAGGATGGCGGGCCTGCAGAGCAAACATGTGACGGGTGCTGGAATGTCGGAGATAGTGGAGCGCAGGATAGCATACTGCTTTCACGAAGCAGTAGTGCTGCTACCAGTGCTAGCAGCAGCAGTTTTGATCATGAGGGTTCATGTGACCTGAGCACTTCTCAATCAGGCCCTTCAGAAGGCAAAGCAGGTTTTGTTCGCATTGCTGGAGCAGCCTCCGTCTCAGTGCGAAGGAACGGATCCATGCTGGTGTGGCTGCAAGCATTGGTGGAGTGTTGGCCTCATAGCGACTTTCAAGTGGCAGGGGAACCTTTGGCGAGCCATAGGGTAGTGCAACATGAATTGCTTAGACGGGAAAGGTGGAACGGGGAGGATGTTTTGGAGCACATGGATACGCTCTGGAGCAACGGTTTGACTTAGAAAATGTTATGATCACCGTGATTTGCTATCTTTATACATATTTATATATAGCCTGATGTTGGTCATGTATGATCTGTACAAGATAATCATGCGAAGCCTTTTTCGCGCGCCCCAATTGCGACCTTTCTGTCAGGCGAAAGCAGACGATCGCGCCAATTGGAGGGAACCGAACCGAAACGACGACTAAGATTCAGCGCTGTCTAGAGCTGCACTGTAGCCTGGAGGACCTCCCCAACCACTCGTTTTGCTGCGGAGTCTGGTTTGGCTTGGTTCGGAACTCCTGATGAGAATGCGTGTCCCAGGAGAACTAGGTTTGGGAGGCCACCAAGTTCTGAAAGCATTGCTCGCCGTAGACTTTCAGGAAGCCTGATCTATCCGCAACAACCATCAATCAGCGAGAGAAAAAGGATGAGGGAGAGACCTTGATCTCGCCTTGCCTTGGAGCCAAGCACACCAGTGACGCTTCCCGGAGCTGGATTTTTCGGAGATTATTGGTTTTTAGCTGTTGGCTGGAGGTGTCTGCTTCGGACTTAGGCCGGCATGTTCCCTCTTATTCCGTGGTCGTTGGGCATTTCTCGTGACAACGTTCACTGATACGAGAATTTCATTCTTGCAGCTCCTCACTGCATGACTGTTTGGCTGCCCGCTGCACGACTCTTTACCAGCGATCCTGGCGGTAGTCATGGCTGACGTAGCAGCTAAGCCAGCTTCCGCTGGTGCCAAGAAGAACGAATTAGCTCAAGCTGGCCGAAGAAAGGTACTATTTTCTCCCTTGCGATCCTAAGCTTCTTCTCCCTTCGCCGGATGCTCCTGGTTCCGACTTTTGGTTTTCTCAAGAAATGGTCGGCAAAGTCCCGCGACGACGCCTCTTCACCGCAATTTATCTGCATCAGTCTTGTAAATATGTTTCATCGTGCTTCTTTTTTTTTTTTTTTTTTTTTTTCCATTGGCGTGTGAATCTGCAGCTCGAGGAGTTTCGCAAGAAGAAAGCAGCAGCGGCAGCGACAGCGTCTGCGCCTTCTCAAGCTGCATCCCCCGCTGCATCTAAGCCAGCAGCCAAGTCCATTCCTGCGGGAAATCCCGCTCCGTCTCAGCCGGCGGCACCACCTCGCATCACAGCCGCTACTCCGCCTGCTATAGGCCCACCCGCGTTTCAGTCACATCCGAATTCCTTCCCTCCGCCTGCTCTAACCCGACCGCTGGCTCAGCCAGGGCTAGCACAGGCTCCGACTGCCCTTCCCACGTTTAGATCCGCCACGTTCGGATCTCCCCTCACTCCCTTCTGGCAGCAATCTCAGCCGTCAACATCAGCCGCTAACGGCCTTCCCCACCCTCCCGGACCCCCAGTTTCTGACGCAGCCAATGCCGCCGCTCCACCTGTACCGTCGTCGGGATTTCCCGCCGCGTCTGTCGCGTCGAGGCCGACCACGGGGATGCAGCCACTCCCATTTGCGGCGAAGGGACCGCTGGTAACTTTCGCGAAACCTAACGCGGTTACAGGTCCCGGGGTTGCGGGTACAGGTCCCCCTCCTTCCGCGCTTTTTTCTGGATCCAGGGCTCCGGCGCAACCTTCCCTCGCGCGGACGTTCTCCCCCCCGCGAGAGCCTTCTTATCCCGCGCAACCTGCTTCCCGGTCCGCTCTTGCGCCAGGCCCGCGAGCTGCGCCTCCGCCGCCTCCGCTCGCGCGCACCTTTTCCCCACCCGCGGAAGCGTCGCAAGCGCAGAAGTCCGGTGCTCCGCCTCCGCCCGCCTTCCTAGGTGCGCCTAGCCACACTACTTCATCCAGCACAACCGCTGCGCCTATCGCGGCCGCCAAGTCTTCCCTCCTCCGCCCCGCGCTTGGTGGGCAGCCCTCCCGCGTGTCCCCCCCTCCTCCCGCCTTCTCCGCGCCCCCGCCAATGAAGGTCGGAGGAGGCGCGGACGGCGGACGGCCCCGTCCGGATTGGATGGGGGGAGGCCCGAATCAAGGCAAAGGGATGGGGCCGCTATGGGGGTTGCAGGGTAGCAGCACTGGCGGTGTCAGCAGCAGTAGCAGCAGTAGCAGCAGTAGCAGCAGCAGCAGCAGCAGCAGCAGTAGAGGTAGCAGCAGCAGCACCAGCAGCAGTAGCAGAAGTAGCGGCAATAGCAGCGATACGGCTTCAGCTTCAGCTTTTGCTGGTTCGCCTGGGTTTCCCGAAACCTCCTCCTCTACCCCCTACTCTGCAGCTACGTTTTCTGCTGTGGGAGCTGGTAGCAGCGCGGTCAAGAGCGGTGGAGGGGCGGAAAGAGACACAGAGCTACTGAGCAGTGGCCAGCAGAAGGAGAAGGACAAGGCTGCGGGACTGGCTCGAGTAGGCACGGCTGGGGGGGAAGCAGCAGGGCCGGGATCAGCGTCGGATCATTGTACCGGGGCACGAGACAGTGAACGCCAAAGAAGAGAAGCAGAGGCAGGTGTGGGCGGAGGGGAGCGATCATCGCAAGGGCGAATGGGGGGGTTTGCGGGGAAGGCGGAGAGGGAGGATGACGCAGACGCTGAGAGCTTCTTCGATTCGCTCTCTCCCGCGGGCTCCTCTCCGAGCCCAGTGAAGCCTGCAGCTGCTGCTCCTAATGCTGCAGGGGACGAGGGGTCTGTGCAACCCGCCTCTTCGTCTGCTGCGGCCATGGCTGCTGTTTCTCCTCTCCCTGCTGTTGCTGGTCCTGCGGTTACTGCTGCGGCTGCTGCTTTTGAGGCGGCCTCAGCTTCTGCTGCTCAGACGCCCACCCTTGACTCGACTGTCCCCGTTATGCGGGACTCGTTACAAGAGCAGGACTTGCTGTCCTCTGAGGTGCTGTCACCTGGCGATAGCGAATTCAAGGCGCAACAGGGTCGGTGGGCAGGAGAACCGAGGGAAGCAGAAAGTGAGGCATACAGCAGTGCTGCGGATGATTCGCCCTCAGATTCCACTTTAGGGAAGCAGTCTGGTAGCGCCGACGCTACAGGTGGTGCGTATGCTGCGTCTTCTGACCAATCCACTCTATTGGACAGCTCCTATTCTACCTCCAGTGACTCTCTTCAAGGGTCATCTGCCTCTGCTCCGCCCCTCGTTCCCCCTCCACTCCCCCCCTCCTCCCTTCCGCCTCCCCCTGTGCTTCCATTCCTTTCAAAGCCGTCAGCACCCTCCACTGCACAATCCACCTCAGTGGCAAAGCCTGCTCGTGCGTCCTTCCTCCCCTCCGCCTACACCTCCGCTCTCCCCACCTCCTCCACTCCCTCCGCCTCTCCCTCTGTCTTCATCCCCTCTCGTGGACCTCAACTCTTGGCCGCAGCTTCTGCTGCTATAGCTGATGTCAACTCGCCCATTGCCTCGCTTGTCACTTCCTCCCCTGTGTCTACCGCTTCCGACCTTGTCTCCACTACCGAAAGCCCAGCCCCCGCCAGCCAGTCACCTGTTGATTGGCGTCAAGAGCACGCTGCTTCAAACGCCGGTACGAGTCCTGATGCCGCCGCTTTTGGCGCGTCTAGGCCTGGTTCCCTGCGGCTTGAGGCGGCTGAAGGCGCTGTTGTGGGTGATGTGAGCTCCCCTAGACCGATGCCAGCTTCTGAGTCAGCTTTGCACGGTCTGACTGCAGAAAACGCTGAGCCTTCTCCAGTTAGTAATGAGTCCTCGGGGGCTAATGATCCGGTTTCCCCTAAGACGCTGCCACAGGAGGAGTCACACGCCCCTGAGAAGCTGAAGTCTCCAGAAAGACCCAAGTCTTCGGCTTTCGCCCGCCTGTTCTCGGCCGCTCTTTCCCCCGCTCGCGGAATGATGAGGGGCGAAAACGGCAAGGGCAGAGGGAGCGAGGGTAGGGTTTCCGAGGGAGAGGAGCAGGGGGGGCAGGCAGGGCTTTCAGAGGGGTTGAGAGTGGCGGAGGTAGAAAATGGCGGAACAGGACTGGACAGTGTGGAAGCAGCGGGAGAACGAGGAGCAGTGGGAGCAGCAGACGGAGCAGGGACCTCTAGCCAGGCAGCAGTGGGGTCGGGAGCGGTGAAGGACGTATTGGCAGGGGTTGGAGGAGGTGGCGAGGAGCGGGGACAGTTAATGACTGAGAATGGTGAAGGCAGTCGTGAGCAGGAGAATGGGGGGCGTGGGCAGGCAAAGGGAGGTGAGGCGAGGGGGCAGGAAACGAGGGAGGACGTGCAGCAGAGAGAGGGTGCTGCAGGCAGCGGGCGAGAGGGGGAGGAAGGGGAGGAAGGGGAGGAGGGCGAGGGGGAGGGTGGAGGGAAGAGCGAGCAGCAGAGAGGGGATGGAGTAGCAGCAGGTCGCGAAGCTTCGTCCCGCCGTCGCCCCAAGTCTATTTCTTCCTGGTGGAATATCATTGCCCCTGCACCCAGATCCGAGGAAAGGGCCGGCGGGGCAAAGGGGGCGGAGGCAGGGGTTCGAGAAGCGGAGGAGGAGGAGGAGGAGGAGGAGGATGATTGGGGCGGGAAGCTCCTGGCTAGCAAGGGTAACCTGGGGGGCCAGGGTCTAGGGGCGGGAAAGAGTCTGTCAGCCTCGGATCTGATCAACGTGGGTCAGGCTAGGAAGGGGGGGGAGGATGGGAAGGTGGGGGGAGATATGAAGATGGGGAGTGATGATATGCCAGCGGGGAGGTGGCAGTCGTGGGGGGAGAGAAGCCAAGCTGTGCATGAGGGGAGGAAGGCAACAGCTCTGGGAGGGAAGGGATGGGAGGAGCGGGAAGAGAAGCAGGTGAATGAAGCAGGGGCGAAGAGGGAGGTGGTAGCTGAGCCGAAGGGGGAGGTGGTATCTGGGGCGGGTGCAGCAAGGGGGGAGGAGAAGGAGGAGAGCCGCAAGCAGGAGTCGAAGGGAGGGTTTTCGAGGCCGTCGTGGCTGAGGGGTCTGAGGAAGCTCGCCTCTGCTGCCACCACCCCCTCCGCCTCACCTCAAAAGGTCTTCCCTTCTCCTGACCTTGATCCCTCCTCCCTCCCCTCCTTGTCCTCGTCATCCTCCTCCTCTTCCTCCTCTTCCTCCTCTTCCTCCTCCTCCACATCCTCATTCTCCTCTTCTTCTTCGTCCTCCAGCTCTACCACCGTTACCACTGTCACCACCTCCCCATCGCCTTCCCTCTTTGACTCCCCTCTCAAGCCGACAGCTCCCAAGGAGCCCACCTTCCCTCGCCTCACCCCTCCCTCTCACCACCCCACCGCCAGCGATTCCCCTACCAAGCCCTCCTCTCTCACCTCTCTCCCTACCAAACAGTCATCTGAATCTCTCCAGGCCTCCTCCCTTGCCTCTGCATCCTCGCTCCCTATCTCCTCCTCCGCCCTCTCCCTTGACTCCCCTCGTAGGGACTCGCCGCGTGCTTCAGCCATTCGCCCCGTCTCTCCCTTTTTCCCCCCCAGCGGTGCCTCCCCTCCCTCCTCTCTCTTCGACTCTCCTACAAAGCCGCAGCCAACGTCTATCCTCTCCTCTGCACCCTCCTCCTCCTCCTCGTCCTCGTCTGCAACTACTCTCTCCTCATTCTCCTCCATTGCCTACAGTTCATCCGCCCTCTCCTCCTCCTCTCACTCCTCCTATCCCTACCCTTCCTCTCTCTCATCCTCCGTCTCCTCCTTTCCCGCTCTCTCGTCCTCTAAGGACGTCCTCAGTGGGGCGCTAGGAACAACCAATAATGACTCTCTCTCCGGCGTCTTAGGCAGTTCTAGAGACGTGTTAGCCGGCGCGTTGGGCGGCAGCAAGGCCTCGGCAGGTGCAACTGCCTTTTCCTCCAGTTCTATTTTGGGAAAGTATTCCTTTCCGGGCGGAGCAGGGGGATCAGGGCTGGGCTCGTCAGCTGATATGGAGGCGAAGCTAGGGGCGGCTCTGGGCCTCCGAACCACCAATACGACTGCGCTGAGTAGTACCAATGGCACTCTACCCTCCTCCTCCTCTTCCTTCTCTTCCTCTTCCTTCTCCACCTTCTCCTCCTCCTCCCCCTCCTTGTCTTTCTCCTCACAGTCTGCTGCTAAGCCTTCCATAGCAGCCGCTTACCGCCCCTCCTTCCTCCCACCTCCAGCCTCTGCCTCAGGCTCCCAGTCATCCTCCTTATCAGCAGGCTCGTTTACAGCAGCGCCACAGTCATTCTCATCCTCTCTTGCAGCTCCCAGCACCGCAGCTACGGCTGAGCAGATGGCAAAACTACGCAGCGAATTAGGGTTCCTTCCGCCCCCACCTACCCTCCCATCCTCCCTGCAATCCCGCCTGGCCCAACCCTCGCCAGACTCCATACCTGTCCCGTCCAGACCACCCATGGTAGACTCGCCGTTCTCCGGACCTGTGGGTTCGCTGTTTTCCAAACCTGCTGCTTCGGCCGAGCCTGTGAAGCCAGGGCAGTCAGAAGAGCAGGGGAGAGGCATGGGTCATGGACGGCCGATGGAGGGGGAGGAAGCAGAGCTTGGTGGGAAGAGAGAGAGGGGGGATAGGGAGGTGGAGGAGAGCGAGGGAGGGAAGGACGAGGGGGGTGGGGGGAATGTGGACGAGAGAATGAGAGAGAGAACTGAGGAAGGGCTGAAGTCTACCAAGGGAGCCGCGTCAAACGATTTTGCATCTCTTGAGCAGGTGGGTTTGGTTGGTTTGGGAACAAGGACTAGATTGGAGCATTAATTCTTCCATGGTGCTGATCATCCCTTCCACATCCATGCCCCTCTTTTTTTATTTCCAGGGCTCCGTGAATGCTGCATTCGACTACGTTAGGCTCCTTTTATGAACCCCCCCTTTCCCGCTCCCTCTCTCTCCCTTGTCTCTTTTTCGCGCAGCACATAGAAGAGCGCACAGAGGAGAAGTTCACGCTTCCTCAACTCAACCGTCGTCATCTTCCTTCCTTGGATACCCTCCCCTTCTGCCCTCACCCCGTGCATGCATGCATGCAGTACATAGAGGAGCTCACAGAGGAGTCTATTTTTGAGGCGCCTCAAAACTAAAATAGACTCCTTCTGCCCTCACCCCGTCCATGCATGCCTGCAGTACATAGAGGAGCTCACAAAGGACAAGCTCACTCTGCAGAGGCAGCTGGATGCAGCCCGGATGGTGACAGACTCACTCAAATGTCTCCCCTACTCCTTCCACCTCCCCCTGTTTCCCTCATTTCAATACGATTTTCCTGTGCAGTACATAGAGGAGCTCACCGAGGAGAAGTTCACGCTGCAGCGGCAGCTGGACGCCGCCCGGATGGTGGCGGAGTCCCTGGCCAAGGAAAACTCCGCTCTCACTGACGACTTCAACCGACAGGTGAGAGTGATTGGTTTGAGTGCTCAATTCGTGAATGGAAGGAGGGGAGGCGTTGCGTATAGGGGGGGAGTTTATAACCGGAGGCAGCTGGACGCAGCCCAGATGGTGGCAGTCACTTGCCAATGAGAACTCCGCTCTCACTGACGACTTCAACCGACAGGTGCGAACGGTGGGGAGGGGGATCTGCTTATGAAGGGATTAGGGGGAGAATTGTGAGAGGCAGCTGGGGGATCTGCTTGGATGGGGTGGGAGAGTCTCTGGCCAAAGGGAGCTCTGCACTGACTAATGACTGGGGTGGGGTGGGGTGGGGTGGGGTGGGGTGGGGTGGGGTGGGGTTGCAAGGGTGGCTGGAAAAGTGGGGCGTGATTCAAATGTTCTTTGTGGTTGGAAGGACGGTCGTTCTTTGTGGGTTTGGTTACCCATCAGCAATGTTGACGCTGGCTGTGGAAAGTCAGTTGATTGACCCCCCGTATCGTTTCAAGTGTTGCTATCCTTCGTCCGTTTCTGCCCCTTGCTCTCTGTTTCTTCTCCTTCAGGCAAAGGGGTTGGAGCAAATGAGGGAGGAGATCAGCAAGCTCAAGGCAGAAGTGAAGGCACAGAAGGTGAGAAACGTTTTGAGCGCAGCGGCTCAAAAACGCGGAGAACGATGCCTGCATGCTAGATTCTACTGCCATCCTTTTCTTTCCCGGGTTGATGGAGTCGCAAGCCGTGTCCAATGAAGAACATGAGTCTCTATCTGCTATCGAGAGACTGCAGAGAGAGGGTGGCTCTGTCATTGGCCAGATAGAGACTGTAGAGACTGCAGAGCCACTGGCAGCAGAGGTAGTGGCTCTGGAGAAGAGGGTGCTGCAGCTGTAGAGCCATGTGCATGCAAACGTATTCTCAACTCACATGGCTTTCTGTCTGTCCTCCGTCCTTCCAACCCCCTCAGGTGGTTATGGAGTCGCAAGCAGTGAGCAAGGAAGCGCAGCACGAATCCTTGTCTGCCATCGAGAGATCGCAGGCACTGGCAGAAGAGGTGGTGGCGTTAGAAGAGAGGGCGCTGCTGCTGTAGAGCCTGCACACTAACATCGTCATATCCCCCCCCCCCCCTTCTCAGGTGGTTATGGAGTCGCAAGCAGTGAGCAAGGAAGCGGCGCATCACGAGTCATTATCTGCCATTGAGAGGTCTCAAGCGCTGGCAGCAGAGGTGGTGGCTCTAGAAGAGAGGGTGCTTCGGTTGCGGTCCAACGAGCTCAAGCTGGAGAGGCAGGCGGAAGGGCTGCAGGCAGAGGCGGAGGCACAGAGGTGAGCGCAGTGTTGAGGTGACTTTTGAGTCGACTCAAAAGTCACCTCTTCTTGAGTCGAATCAAAGGCCACCTCTTTTTGAGTCTACTCAAAAGTCAGTGTTGAAGTATCACATGCTGAGTTGAATGGTGGTGCTGCTGGAGGAGAGGTTGCTGCGGCTGCGGTCCAACGAGCTCAAGCTGGAGGGGCAGGCGGAGGCGGAGGCACAGAGGTGAGCAGAGCGGTGGTGTGTGGTTGAAAGTGCATGATTTCTAGTGTTGTGTTGCAGGAGAGGGTGCTGCAGCTGCGGTCGAATGGGCTGGAGCTGGAGCGACCGGCAGAGGGGCTTCAAGCGGAGGCAGGGGCACAGAGGTGAGCGCAGGGATTGAATAGATTCTTTTGAGTTGAGTGTGCGGCTCTGGAAGACAGTTTGCTGCGGCTGAGATCCGATGAGCCACAGGCAGAGGGGCAGCTGGTAGAGTCCGAGGCTCAGTGGTGAGCGTGCGGGTGCTGCTGTGTGATAGGGAGACTTTGGACCTGCCTTGGAACTTGGAAGTGCGTTTTGTTCTTTGAGTGGAATCTCACGACCATTCACGTGCCGTCCCGATCCCCACACACACCCAGGCGTGCTGCGTCGAACTTCGAGGCTGAGAGGAAGGAGCTGCGCGCCGCTGTGGAGAAACTCAACGAAGGTGGGTGTGCTGGTTGGCCGCTCTGGGTGGTCTGTGGGTGGTGGTTCTTGAGGCGCCTAAAAATTTTAGGCTGAGAGGAAGGAACAGCGAGCCGTGGTGCAGAATCTCAAGAAAGGTGGGTGGCCTAGCTGGCTTGGGGCTGTGCTGTGGGTGTGCTAGTTGGCCGAGTGCTGTATTGCCATTGGGATGTTCAGCTGCTGCATGTCATAGCGTTAAATTGCCCGTTTCATGATGGATATGTACTATATGTCATTGCCACGTCACACCAAATGACACGTCATCACTTCATCCATCCATCCACGTGGCTCGACAGAGAAGCGCCAGCTCAAGGTGCAGCTGAGGCGGGTTACAGTGGGCGGCGCGCTGGGTGACATGTGGCGGGGCGACGGTGCGTCCACGTCAGCAGCAGCGCCAGCTGTACCATCCGTGAGCCAATCAACGTCAACAGATGAGCTGGAGACAGCCTTCCCGAACTTATCAGCACCTTCTGCCGAGGCAGGAGTCTCAGGCTCGGCATCTGCTGCTGCTGAGGCAGCGGCTGTAGTCTCGGGTGCTGAACCAACCAGCGGAGCCTCGGTAGGGCCAGCAAGAGAAGACACAGGTTCGGCCGGACCTGCTGTGGAGGGTCGGGGGGCAGGGGAACAGGGGAGGAGGAGAGAGGAAGAGGAGGAGACTCTGGGGGAGGCTGGGAAGAGAGCGGTTGCTGAGGTTCGGGCACTGTTCATGCGAATGGAGGGCGGTGGGCGGCATAATTTGGAGGAAGTGGGCGAGCAGCTGGTGAGAATGATTACTGCTGCTGTAGGGGCGGCAGAGGAGGGTGCTTCTGCTGCTGCCGCTGGTGGTGGGAGGAGAGGGAGAGGAGGCCGGGATAGGAGGGTGGGAGAGGAGGCCAATCAAGAGGAGGAGGAAGAGGAGGAGGAGGGAGGGGTGGATGAGTTTTTGTTGCTGCCCGCTCTGCTGCCCGGGTCTGTGGATGTGTTGTCGGAGGAGGAGCAGAGGAGCGTGGAGAGCATCAATGCGCTTCTGGCAGAGGTAAGGAGGGGTGGTGAGGGGTGGGGAGGGGTGGGGAGGGACGGGATAGGGAGATGGGGGGAAGGATAGGGGGAGGAGCAGAGGAGCGCGGAGAGCATCAACGCGCTGCTGGCCGAGGTGAGAGCGACAGAGACCGCTTGAGGAAGGGGGGGGGATGGGGAAGGGGGATGGGGAAGGGGAATGGGAGAGAGTCACTAGAGTGAGGAGGAACGGAGGAGCGTGGAGAGCATTAATGCGCTGCTGGTGGAGGTGAGAGGGTTCGAGGGGGCGGAAAGGGGAAGGCGGTGATGTTCTGGTGGGGATGAGATGGGAATAGCTCCATACGTTTTAACAGTATAGAGGAAGCAGCGTTTGAAGACGTTTATGGACCATCCTCTTGCCAGAACGTGATAGAGCTCTTTTGTGTACGCAGCTCCCTCTTGCCCTGACCCCACTCTCCCTCCCTTTCCCCTCCCCCCCCCCCCCCCCCTCCCCCAATCACCCACCAATCAGATGCAAGCTGAGAGGGAAAACATGGCACGAGCACTAAGAGAGGAGGCTGCCACGTCAGCCGAGCTGAGGGTGAGTTGCGAGATGTCAGCTGCTGTCTTTCCCTGTATCCTTTTCTCGTCAGTATAGCTGACCACGTGATTCCGATAATAACCCTTCTCCTATGCCCCAGGTTTACTATAACAGCCTCCAACCCTCCCCCCCCCCCCCGGTTCTCCCTCTTGGGGTTGCTGCTGGTGGCTCAGTCAGACTGTCATGGCTGCTGCTTCCCCCTCCATGAACCCAACTACACTCCCGTTGTCTTAAACCGCAGCCCTTCATTGTGTAGCACCCGTTATTGTCACACCACCGGCAGCAAACGAGGATTCATCCCACGAGCTGTTGTCACACACAAACCCAGAAACAGGAGCTGCTGGTGGCTCAGACACTCGTGGCTGCTGCATCCCCCTCTCTGTGCCCACTCACTCATTCAACCTTTCGTACCGCAACCCTTCATTGCGTTGCACCCGTTACTGTCACGCCACAGGCAGCAAACAAGGAGCTATCCCACAAGCTGTCGTCACAGACCCAGCACATGGAGCTGCTGGTGGCTCAGACCGTCATGGCTGCTGCTTCCTCCACCACTCTGCACCTACTTACACCCCCATTGTCTTGATTCACACCCCTTTACTGTGTTCCACGCCGTTATTCCCACTGGCAGGCAGCAAACGAGGAGCTATCTCACAAGCTGTCATCACAGTCCAAACACATGGATCTGCTGGTGGTCGCACAGATCGCAGCTGCTTCTGCTGCCTTGCTCCCGACACCCACTCACCAGCCCCTTTCTTGTTTCCCACTCCTTCGTGTCAACCCCCGTATGGTCACGCTCTCGTTATTGTCACGCCACAGGCAGCAAACGAGGAGCTATCTCACAAGCTGTCGTCACAGACCCAACACATGGAGCTGCTGGTGGCTCAGACTGTCATGGCTGCTGCTTCCTCTGCCTCCCGATCTGCCTCCGCCGCTGCCAATGCTGCCAATGTGCGCACGCCACGTGTCTCCTCCTCCTCTGCTGCTGCACGAGCATCCGCTGCTTCTGCTTCCTCCACAACCCCTCTTCCCAGGAGTTCGTCGTCCGCAGCTGCTGCCACTGCTAGTGCCGCCACTGCTGCTGCTGCTAGTGCTGTCACTGCTGCTGCTGCTAGTGCCGCCACTGCTGCTGTTGATGCTGGTGCCGGTTCTACTCTCCCCCCTCCCAGCGTCCCTCCTGCCTTCCTCTCCCCAACCTCTAAGTCGCTGTCAGCACCTCTGCTGGCTCAATCGGCCAACGGGCAACTGGGGCCGGCAAACAGACAGGTGTCGCCGGCCGCTGCTGCAGCAGCCGCTGCGTTGCTGGCAGGAGGGGGGCCGGGTGGTGCGGGTGTAAGTGGAGGGGGAGGGGGGCTGGGATCACCGCGCACGCCTGGGGCATCGGGATATGGAGAGTTCAATGATTACCTGGATGAAGGGGATGAGGTGAGTGCTGGTATTTTTTAATGTGAAAACATGGATGCCGTGCGTTTGAAGGGATGCGAAGTATGTTGGTTTGTGAATGGTGTTGTCTCTCCTTTGACTTGATATTGTGCCCGTTCCTTGTGTCGAGATGGGATGACGGGATGGGATGTCGTGCCCGTTCCTTGTGTCGAGTCCCCAGCATTCTGGGTGTGTTGTGCTTTTCCTCCTGATGTGTCCTGACTGCTCCCATTCCCTCACTCGTACCGCTCTGTATCCCTCCTCCCCCCAGGTGGCTGAGGAGGTGCTCTCCTGGCTGCTACGGCTGTTCCCTAGTGGGAGACGCAACGGGCAGCCTGTACAATGAGGGGGGGAGTGTTGGGGAGAGGAGGAGGAGGAGGAGAACGAGAGATAGAGATTAGAGACTGACTCACAGCACAAAGCCTGGCCACAGCTGTTCCTTATTGGCATGTCCAATGGGCAACCTGTGCAATGATGGGGAAGTGGTTAGATGGATGACAGGTGATGGTGACAAGGGGGAAAGGGTGTGAAATTGGGGGATAGGATTTTGAGAATCCTAAAAAACTCTCAGCTGGATGTGCAAGGTGTGAGAGTATCAAGTGCGTGTGGTGTGGACGCCCACAGATCAGTGGGGCGGGTAACATGGTGGGTTGCTGGGCTGTTGGCAGAGGAGGCAAACGTTGGTTTGATCAGGCTATGCAGCAAAGCGGAGCAGAGCAGAGCAGAGCAGACCAGATGAGATGTAATTCAGGGTGCAATGGGGGTGGGCCGCTGGGGATAAAGACCCAGTCCAAGAACACTGGACTGCAGTAATTAGGTTACGGATCTCCAGATATGCACGTCCTGGTTTTTGGTAGGCACCCTGGTCTATCAATTGGTGATGATTAGGTCTCCTCTACTGTACTGTAGTGTTCATGGGTGTGAAGTTGCAGCATTGTGTAACCTATTACCGGTATAGAGTTTATGTGTGCTAATATACAGAGGATGAGGCACAAGTTATTTCGTTGTGCTATATGCTAAAACACTGTAGTATTTTCTGGAGATTGTTAATGTTCTAGGTACCATGCAATGCAATATTGTTTGGGCAATGATCGCCAAGCATATTGAACAGTATTAGTGCCAGCTGTTTCTTAGGTTCTACAACCTATGTGAGTGAGACCTCCAAGCAGCAGGTGTCACAGTTGTCACAGAGTGGGCCAGCCCCTTGCCAGACATAGGATATTACCGTTACCGTGTCTACCCTCAACTGTTCTGCTAAGCAGCAGGTGTGGTGGTAACCGATGTCTTGGGCTTGACGCCAATCTTCTTCCACGAGACAGCTGGCATGATCTGATTGCCATCCACCCTGTCCTTGTAGCGGACGGCGAAGTTCAGCAGGGAGTCGAGGAGAGCATCGCCCAGGAAGTGCGGCTGCAGGCCGAGCTCGAGCAGCTTGGTGCGCTTGGCGTTGTAGTAGTGCTCCTCCGCCTGGTGGCAAAGGGATTGTGAGGGGGCGAAGGGGTAAGGAATGGATGGAGGGAATACAGGGGGGTAGAAGTTGAGCAGCGAGTCGAGGAGAGCATCGCCCAGGAAGTGCGGCTGCAGGCCGAGCTCGAGCAGCTTGGTGCGCTTGGCGTTGTAGTAGTGCTCCTCCGCCTGGTGGCAAAGGGATTGTGAGGGGGCGAAGGGGTAAGGAATGGATGGAGGGAATACAGGGGGGTAGAAGTTGAGCAGCGAGTCGAGGAGAGCATCGCCCAGGAAGTGCGGCTGCAGGCCGAGCTCGAGCAGCTTGGTGCGCTTGGCGTTGTAGTAGTGCTCCTCCGCCTGGTGGCAAAGGGATTGTGAGGGGGCGAAGGGGTAAGGAATGGATGGAGGGAATACAGGGGGGTAGAAGTTGAGCAGCGAGTCGAGGAGAGCATCGCCCAGGAAGTGCGGCTGCAGACCGAGCTCGAGCAGCTTTGGTGCGCTTGGCGTTGTGGCAGTGCTCCTCCGCCTGATGGGGAGGAGGTGGGGCGAACGGGAGGGTGTGGTTGTGGGTGTGGGTGGGGGGAGAACCATCCCATTTCAAACCTACCCAAGATCACAAATGCCTCCTCATGGCACATACCTCTACTCGGGGGTTTGGCACGGCACGTTGATAGACTTCAGTACGATGCCCATCTTTTCCCCTGCAGGAGTCATCAGCCGTGCCAGGTCGCGCACAGAAAACTAACTCTGTGACTTGTTTGAATTTAAACCCTCAACCCCGACTACCCAAATACCTCGACGCATGGGTTGGGCCCGTTGAGAGCCTCGATGCCCATCTTCTCCCCTGCTGCTGTTACTAGCCGCACTAGGTCGCGCACAGGGAACTGCTCCGAGAACCGGTTCAACACGCGCCTCTAAATCCGACCCAAGAGCGTACCTCCACTCGCGTACCTAAATACAACTACTACCCTTTGGATTCAACACAAGGCACATGCATGTACCTCTACTCGCGGGTTGGGCACGTTGATGGCCTTGACCTCAATTCCCATCTTCTCCCCCGCAGCCGTCACCAGGCGTGCCAGATCCCTCACGGAAAACTGCTCCGTGAACTGGTTGAACACGCGAAACTCGCCCAGCTTGGCGGGGTTGGCGATCGCCAGTTCTACACAGCGGACTGTGTCACGAATGTCGAGGTAGCCTCGGGTCTGAGGGGGACGTTGGGGAGGGGGGGGGGGAGGGGGGGAGGGGGGTCAACGAGGGTGAGATGCTGGTTGAACACACTTGGAAGTCGCCCACGTTGACAGGATTGGCGAGACTATTTCCATACAGCCCAGGCGTTCCATACAGCCCAGGAGTTCCATACAGCCGAGGCGTTTACAGATAACCTCCGTCTATCTGTCTCAGATTCCTGACAGCCGCGCTGCTTCTCTCGGGCCTCCTGATGCTGTCACTGCTGCTCACAATACGACACCAGAGCTACGCCGTACGACATGTGTGCTGCTGCCCGACACGTGATGCCCTGCTGCTGCCCGATATGAGACTCGTCTATGAAACACGCCTGGAGTCTGTGAGCAACACAGGTTCATGGCCTGGCATCCAGCCCCTTCTCAGAACCGACCTTCCTCAGACATATACACACGAACCACTAGCCCCTCCAGCCCCCTCCAACCCTCTCCAACCCTCTTCAACCCACTCCAGTCCCTTCCAACGCCCCCCAACCCCCTCCAGTCCCTTCCAACGCCCCCCAACCCCCTCCAGTCCCTTCCAACCCCCTCCAGCCCACTCTCCCATGATTGCATCCCCATGCTCCTCGATGCTTTTACCCCGGAATCGTGTTCTCTCCTCTCGTCTCCCCTCTCCGGCCGTCTCACGTCCCAGTCGTCATTCCTCTCTCGTCTTCCGCCCATCTCTCCTCACCACCCCCTCACACATCTGTCCCATTCAATCTTCCCCTCGCATCCACCCCGCCCCCCTCACCTGGCCGCCCTTGCCGTAGATGGTCAGCGGGTGCCCCACGGCCGCCTGGACAACAAATCGGTTGAGAGCGGTGCCGAACACCCCGTCATAGTCCAGGCGGTTGATGAGCATCACGTCCTTTTCAGTCTCCGGCGTCGCCACGCCGTACACCACGCCCTGGTTGAGGTCGGTGGCCCGCATGCTCCACGCTTTGCAAGCGAACGCGATATTGTGTGAGTCGTGCACCTGTTACAACAAGAAAAAAAAAACCCAAGGCCATTCAGACTCCGGCGTCGCCACGCCGTGCACCACGCCCTGGTTCAGATCAGCCGCTCGCATGTTCCACGCTTTGCAAGCGAACGCGATATTGTGTGAGTCGTGAACCTGTTGTAACAAGACATAATCATATAACGAAAACATTCTCCGTCTCGGGCGTCGCTCTGCCGTACACCACGCCTGGTTAAGATCCGTCGCGCCACGTTCCACGCTTTACACGCAAACGCGATATTGTGCGGATCGTGCACCTGTGACTATTCTGGAAGTGACAAGGACGAGACAGTGACAGTATGATATGCGACATTGTGATCTCCAAATCACGTAGACGTTTCCAATCCAAACGCTTGAGGTAAGTTCTACGTGATTGGATTGCAGTATTTGGAGTGTGGTCTCCATACTTCGATCGCATGCAAATTCTGACACTGTCCTGGTCACATGGCATGGACAGGGAACATTTCCTACCAACGTGAATAGTGAACATAACTTGCTTAAATGAAACATGAACACGTGGCATACCTTGCTGAGGTGGTAAAACGAGCTGGCCTGCTTCGGGCAGGGCAGCGATTTTTAAGGCGCCTCAAAAATCGCAACATCGAGCATTTTCGTGCCTACACGAAGGAGATTAGCACGAGATTAGTGCGAAGGAGAACATAGTAAGCGTACCTTGCTGAGGTGGTAGAACGAGCTGGCCTGCTTCGGGTACGGCAGCGTGTCCGTCCTTCCGTTGTGCGTGATTGTAATGAAGCCCTCCTCAATGTCAATGTTCGGCGTGCCGTACTCGCCCATGGTCCCCAGCTTCACCAGGTGGCACTCAGGAGCGAACTCCTTAATCGCGAACATCACATTGATAGTGCCGATCACGTTGTTATGCTGCGTGAAAACCGCGCGGTTGCGATCGATCATGGAGTACGGCGCCGATCGCTGCTCGCCGAAATGCACCACAGCCGTCGGCTCGAACGTCTGGAACGCGTCTGCGAGGAACTCGAAGTCGCACACGTCGCCGATGTACAGTGCGATCGTTTTCCCGGTGATCTCTCGCCAGCGTCGCACGCGATCGTGAATCGACGCGATCGGCGTGAGGGTCTGCGATCCCAGCTGCTCGTCGAACAATCGACGGCTGAGATTGTCCACGATGGACACGTCATAGCCTTGCTCTGATAGGTGCAGCGCCGTCGCCCAGCCGCAATACCCGTCACCGCCGATCACCATCACGCGACCCTTGGACGACCCACCGCTGCTCGCGCTGTTGCCCTCAGGAGCCTGCGTGGAAGCTTCGGTTGCTGATGTGGCATACACGGAGACGGATCGCCGCATTTTTCGGGGCAGAGAGCTCTTGATTTGACTGACTACATGTTGAGAGAGCGGCGAAGGGGTGATGGACGGGAGAACGCGGGAGGCAGAAGCCGCGCATTTAAAGCCGGCCTTGGAAGAAGCAGCAGCTGAGCAAGCAGAGGCCAGGGGGCTCTGCAGTCTCGCGGTGGTTGCTGCCTGAAGCGACGCGACTGCTGGGGCGATGCACGCCATGGCTGCTCCGCTCAGTTCAGGAATTCCCGCAGCAAGAGCTGGGAAACGCGAGGGGTCTCGAGTCGACTCGAGAACGGAAGTGACAGAGATGATGATTGAATCTTGTCACCTGAGCAGCCAAAGCCAGTGATCAACAACACAGAAACTACGATTTTATGAATCTGTGAAGTGGTAGTCGTGGTTTTGTGAAATTGCTTCTGAAGGGATGCTTGTTCGTACACACCTGATGTGGGGAAGTTGGAGGGAAATGCTGTGTCAGTTCGCCACAGGATGAAGCTGATGTGGATATCCGAGCTGGAGGATGGAGGTGTCGCCAGGAATGGATGGGAGTGGTCGAGCTTAGAGCCCTGATTGGTCGCTCACATCGTGGCTCCATGACGTGGAAAGGCCAGGCGGAATCTTATGATTCGATAGAACACGCGCATCTTGTGGCTGGGCTCAACGAAGATGCTTTTCCACGTGCCAAGCCTCGATGTTGTCGACGGCAATGACGTGGATCGAGGTTGCAACGATCGTGGTTTCCTCCCCTTACGATAATTGTTATGAAAGACAAGCTCCATCAGTCGAGTGTAATGTCTATACAACCCACGACGAGAAATAGCGTCGCATTCGCCTATCACGCGTACACATTTCTTCCACACACGCACTCCAGAACAATCACCTATGTATGGAAGGACATTCTCGATAACTCATCCTCCATTGTCGTGAGTCCTCCTGAATCCTGATTCCTGGCCTGTTGACAGCTGCAGGAGCGTGATATTCAACTGAAATCTCCCCGGATTTCTCTCAATTCGACGTTTCCAGCATCATTCTTCTCTGGAATTTAACCATGGCCACCAACGGAGAGCACAAAGCGAGGGAAGCAACCAGCAGCTCACTGGCGGACTCCTCTGATTGGTCGGACGGATTCCTCTGGCGCGGAAAGCGAACCCTAAAAGTTCCTGTCTCTCTGTTCAACGAGAATCGGCAGAAGCTCGCAGGGCGAATGCGAGCCAGGCTGGAAGGCTGGAACGTGCATGCCATTGTGCTGCTTCAGGTGGGAAGAGCAGTAGAAAAGTAGAATGTAAGATCATTTTTCACTAGTAACCGCAGATGCTGGAGTTTCAGAGAGGAGCCATAGCCCTGCAAGCCCTCCAGCAGCTTACAGCCTACAGCCTAAAGCCTACAGCCTACAGCCTCCAGCCTCCAGCCTCCAGCCTCCAGCCTTCAGCCTCCAGCATCCAGCCTCCAGCCTCCAGCCTCCAGCCTCCAGCCTACAGCCTACAGCCTCCAGCCTGCATTCTACAGCCTCCAGCCTACATCTCTGCACCTCGTATTAAAAACATGACTCTCCCTCATCTTTACTTCTCGCTCTTTATCAATTCTCCCTCTACATACAACCAGGGTGGAGAATCTCAGTTCCGCCACTGCACCGACCACGAGGAACTTTTCAGGTGGGGCTCGGATTGTTTGGCCTGACTTAACTTCCACCTTATCCTCGTTTTAAGTCGACTGATTAGTGGAGATCCTCAGTTCCGCCATTGCACCGACCACGATGATTTCGTCAGATGATGCTGCTAGGTCTTTTAAGCTTGATTTAGCATGCACTATGAGGAGCTCTTTAGATGTGGCTGACCATGGACCATAAGTATCTCGTTGGAGAGGTTTTCTCCTGCACTTGTGGCTGCCTCTCACGGTATTGCAGGGAAAATCCGTGCGTAATGAGTCGATTTTTGAGTCGACTAAAAAATCGACTCATTACACACTTGTGGCTGCCTCTCACGGTATTGCAGGGAAAAAATGTTGGCTTGTTATGTCTGGCTCTTGTATCCTGTCCCTCTTGTGTGACTTGTTTCTGCTGCCGTCCATGGTACCGTATCTCACCGTTCTCTGCCCATCTCCTCCTGCTACTGGTTAAGCCATTCTGTGGTTGTCATTGCTTGCTGCTGCATGGCCTGGTACGGCATGGCACGGCATGGCATGGCATGGCATGGCATGGCATGGCATGGCATGGCATGGCATGGCATGGCACGGCATGGCACGGCATGGCATGGCATGGCATGGCATGGCATGGTGCAGGCAGGAGAGCTACTTCTCGTATCTCTTTGGAGTCATCGAGCCGGGATTCTATGGCGCTCTGGTATTTTATTCCCGTGTCTATGCTTCTGCAGCTTCTTACTGCAGTGGAAACACATAGTTCTTTACACCTTTTGATGTAGTGCTCCTTTCCTTGTGGGGGGGTGGGGTGGATAGGGGCACTCAACTTGACCTTCTCTACCCCTTCACCTCTCACTCTCTACCCCTTCACCTCTCACTCTCTACCCCTTCACCTCTCACTCTCTACCCCTTCACCTCTCACTCTCTACCCCTTCACCTCTCACTCTCTACCCCTTCACCTCTCACTCTCTACCCCTTCACCTCTCAATATCTACCTTTTCGCCTCTCACCATCTCAATCCTGCAGGACGTATCAGTGCAGCCGGCCCGTTCATTCCTCTTCGTGCCTCGCTTTCCGGATTCCTATGCTGTTTGGATGGGTCCTTTGCACACAACGCAGCAGATCAAGGTATGGACTGGCTTCAACGTACATCCTCCGTGAGACACTGCACCAGATTGGGGCATTTGTCACAATTCCGCAATTGGGACAATGCCTACAAGTCTCTAAACCCTTGTTGCCATGCCACGTACCTTATTTCCTCTTCCCATGTGAAGTGTATTCAGTTTCTAAAATGTGTCAGTTAAGTGATGCTGTCGTGTCTTCAGTCACTAATGGCTTTGTTTTATCCAGTTAGCTTCTTCCTGTCTGTGTTTCCTATGTACCACTACCCGAGCAGGACAAGTACAGAGTGGATGAGGTGCACTATATCGAGGAGATGCCAGCAGTCTTGAAAGCAGCTGCAGGGACTAGCAGTGATCTACCAACTCTCTTTCTGCTGCGAGGGGTCAACACCGACAGCGGCAACTCCTGCAAGCCAGCACACTTTGACGTGCGTTGCGTGCGTGCATGCATGCATCCTAGACAGTTGATGTTTTGGAGTCTGACAAAGCTGCATCCTGAGCCAAGCGAGTGTGGCGTGCTGAAGACCCAAGAGGAGAGTCACTGGTTCGCCTATGCTTCTTCCTTGCTTCCCCAGTTCTTCCCCTTTGTTTCCCGTTGTATTTTGAGTCGACTCAAAATACATCCGCCCGTGAGTGTATCCACCAGGGCATAGACTCCTTCCCCCAGGATTCGACTGAGCTGCACTCGGAGCTGAGCGAGTGCCGCGTGATCAAATCCCTGGAGGAGATCCCCGCCCTCCTCACCCCCCACCACCCCTCCCGATCTTTGAGTCGACCCAAAATACACTCGGAGCCGAGCGAGTGCCGCGTGATCAAATCCCAAGAGGAGATCCCCGCCCTCCTCACCCCCCACCACCCCTCCCAATCTTGCCCCGTGCCGCCATGGACACCCCCGCCACCAGGGCATACACGCCTTTCCGCAGGATTTGGCTGTGCTGCACTCGGAGCTGATCGAGTGCCGCGTGATCAAGTCCTTGGAGGAGCTTCCCACCACCCCCAACCCCAGACCACCCATCCCCGCCGTCTCTCTTCCCTCCCTGCACCCCCCACCCCACAAGGGCATAGACGCCTTTCCCCAGGAGTCAGGACCTGTCAAAACTGCACCCTTAGCTGATCGAGTGCCGCGTGATCGAGTCCTTGGAGGAGCTTCCCACCACCCCCAACCCCAGACCACCCATCCCCGCCGCCTCTCTTCCCTCCCTGCAACCCCCACCCCACCAGGGCATTCCCTCCCTGCATCCCCTGCCTTTCCCCAGGACCTGTCAAAACTGCACCGTTGGCTGAGCGAGTGCTGCATGAACAAGTCCCAGGAGGAGCTTCCCCCCGCTTTCCCATGCCCCCGCCCCGCGCCCTTCCCATGTCTCTCGTGTTCTCCCACATCCCCTCCCTCCCCTCCCTCCCCCGTTCCACCAGGGCATAGACGCCTTTCCGCAGGACCTGGCGGTGCTGCGGCCCGAGCTGAGTGCATGCCGTGTGGTGAACCCGAAACCTCAAACCTTAAATCCTGAGTCCACAGAGGAGCTTCCCAGCCTCCCAACCCAACCCACCACCACCCATTCCCCCACCGTGTCTCTTCCCTCCCTCCATCACCCACCAGGGTATAGACGCCTTTCCGCAGGACCTGGCAGTGCTACAGCCGGAGCTGAGTGAATGCCGTGTGGTGAAGTCCCAAGAGGAGATTCGTGTCATGCGATATGCAGCTGCTGTGTCGTCAGATGCACACGTGGAGGTGGGTGGGTGCCAGGGAGGAAGGTGGGGTGGGGGGGTGGGTGGGGAGACTTTTGAGGCGCCTCAAAAATGGGTGCCAGGGAGGAAGGTGGGGTGGGGGGATGGGTGGGGTGGACAACATGAGTAGAATCATGTGGAGACTCATGTCATGCTCTACGCCGCTGCTGTGTCGTCAGATGCACACGTGGAGGTCGGTGGGTGCCAGGGAGGATGGTGGGGTCTATTTTTGAGGCGCCTCAAAAATTGACTCCTCACGGGTGGGGAGATGGGTGTGGTGGACAACATGAGTAGAATCATGTGGAAACTCATGTCATGCTCTACGCCGCTGCTGTATCGTCTTTAATGCATCGAAACCCCGTATCACCCTTTTTCACCGCTTTCAGGTGATGCGCAGAGTGCGGCCTGGAATGATGGAGTATGAGATGGAGGCGGATTTCCTGCACCATGCGGCTGTGGCTGCGGCCCAGGGGATGTCGAAACTTCAAAAGAACGCCTGTTGAGGGAACGAAGTATGTGTTGCTGTTGCTGTTGTTGCTGTTGTTGTTGTTGCGGTTTCTTCCTTTCTTTCCCAACCCTCTCAGGTGATGCGCAGAGTGCGGCCGGGATTGATGGAGTATGAGATGGAGGCGGATTTCCTGCACCACGCGGCAGCGAGGGGCGGATGCCGCATTGCAGCGTACACGTGCATCTGTGGTACCGGGGCCAACAGCAGCATTCTGCACTATGGGCATGCTGCTGCTCCCAATGACCGGGTAAGTGACCCCTGAACCCCGACCCCAAGTGTGTAGAAGCACAGTTTGTGCATTGCAGCGGACACGTGCATCTGTGGTACGGGGGCCAACAGCAGCATTCTGCACTATGGGCATGCTGCTGCTCCCAATGACCGGGTAAGTGACCCCTGAACCCCGACCCCAAGTGTGTAGAAGCACAGTTTGTGCATTGCAGCGGACACGTGCATCTGTGGTACGGGGGCCAATAGCAGCATTCTGCACTATGGGCATGCTGCTTCTCCCAATGACCGTGTAAGTGAGCCCTGAACCCTGACCCAAGTGTGTAGAAGCACAGTTTGTGCATTGCAGCGGACACGTGCATCTGTGGTACGGGGGCCAATAGCAGCATTCTGCACTATGGGCATGCTGCTGCTCCCAATGACCGGGTAAGTGACCCCTGAACCCCGACCCCAAGTGTGTAGGACCATGGATGCCGCATTGCAGCGCACACGTGCATCTGTGGTACCGGGGCCAACAGCAGCATTCTGCACTATGGGCATGCTGCTTCTCCCAATGACCATGTAAGTGAGCCCTGAACCCTGACCCAAGTGTGTAGAAGCACATTTTGTGCATTGCAGCGTACACCTGCATCTGTGGTACAGGGGCCAATAGCAGCATTCTGCACTATGGCCATGCTTCTGCTCCCAATGTCCAGGAGAGGATGACCAGTAGTAACATGCTGTGTTGAGGGGCCTCAGTTAGAAGAACCCAGAGCCCGAAACCTTGACTGTGTAACATTAAGGCAGTAACAACGATTGGTATGCTGAGGCGCCTCAAGTTCAGAAATGTAACATTGCAGGGTACACATGCGGCCTAGCAGCAGCATTCCTCTTTGCGGCAATGTGGCTACACTGTGCCTAATGACAGGGTAAGCGGGGTGGTGCAATCACGAGAGGATTAGGAACAAAAGTGCGAAAGGCACGGTTCTGTCTCATGAGTTTATAACAGCAAGAAATGCCGGTTAACAACAGCATGATAAGAGGTTGTAACTAAGGGTGCTCATTCTTGGACCCTGGGCTGCTTATGTTCAACTGTATTGAGTTGCAAAGGTTAGTCCCTCTAAAGTTCCTAGCAACTCAATCTCCACTCACACCCCGCCCCTCCTCTGTCTACCCCACACCCCCGCCCCGACCCTCCCAACCCAACCACACCCCCTTGCGTTCAGTAGGGGTGCAAGGGTGGGGACGACTTGGCCCTTTTGGACATGGGAGCTGGGTACTTCACATTCGGACCTGACACCACATGCTAGACCTTGTGATTACCATGCCGTGAAATGTTCCTCGCTCTGCCCTTTCCCCTCGCCTGCTACATCCAGGAGTGAAAGGATGGGGACATGGCCCTCTTGGACATGGGAGCAGAATTCTTCACTTACGACACACATGCTCCTTCCCTGTATGCTCAGAGCCCCCCCCTCTCCTCCGTCTTCCCCACACCCCCGACCTCCCATCCACACCCCGTGCTGCGAGCAGGAGTGCAAGGATGGCGACATGGCCCTCTTGGACATGGGAGCAGAATACTTCACTTACGGTGCCGACATCACATGTTCCTTTCCCGTATGCTGTCGTCATATGCTCGTTTCCTGAATGCCATGGCAACGCCAAGCATAAGACATGCCATCCGAATCATGCCTGCTTGTCACCTCGTTCTTTGCTTTCTTTGCTCGTTCTTCTCATATCGCCGTGGCCCGTGGAATCCCTAGTTTTGTCACCGTGCACCTAGTGAGGGATCCCTGCGATATTGTACTTACCCGTGCGTAATGAGTCTATTTTTGAGTCGACTAAAAAATGTACTCATTACACACGGTTGTCACTGTGCACCTAGTGAGGGATTCTTGCGATAATGTACTTACCTCGTCGCACTACATTCTTGCTTTCCCGATTATGCCTTCCGATTCCGAATTATGAGATGCCGTGCTGCCATGTGTCATGCTTCGTGTTTCATTGGCTTGTCTCATCTCTCGTACCAACTCGTTCCAGGTGAACGGCAAATTCACGCCAGATCAGAGGCTGGTATACGAGGTGAGCTGTATAAACACGTGGTAAGAGGAGAGGTACCATAAACACGAGGTGAGCTGACTGCAACCACGCATTTACGGTAGGCACCTCTCCTATTTTCCTATTTTCATCATTATCGCCTGACCTTCCCCTTGGTTGCTACATCCCATCTTTGTACTTATTCTCATCTCTTTCTTTTCTATTCTGCGTCCCTGATTGCCTCTCCTCTATTTTTGAGGCGCCTCAAAAATAGACTCCTCACGCATGGTTTATTCTCTTCTCTTTCTTTTCTCTTCTGCGTCCCTGATTGCCTCTCCTCTGCCCCGCTTCGCCCTTGCCTCTCCTTATGTACGTCCTTTTTTTTATCGCCAAACCACTCGTCCTTCACTCCCTTTCCCTCCTCCTCATATCTTCCTTCCTTCTCTCGTCTTCATTTTCCTTCTCTCCTCTCCTCGTATTTAGGCAGTACTGGCTGCGCAGAGGGCTGTCTTCTCAGCAATGAAGCCTGGAGTCAACTGGCTGGCCATGCACAGGCGAGTCAAAGGGGGGGAATGCACAGGCGAGTCAAAGGGGGGGAATGCACAGGCGAGTCAAAGGGGCGGAATGCACAGGCGAGTCAAAGGGGCGGAATGCACAGGCGAGTCAAAGGGGCGGAATGCACAGGCGAGTCAAAGGGGGGGAATGCACAGGCGAGTCAAAGAGGGGGCCTGCACAGGCGAGTCACGAGGGGGGGCCTGCACAGGCGAGTCACGAGGGGGGGCCTGCACAGGCGAGTCACGAGGGGGGAATGCACAGGCGAGTCACAGGGGGGGGCTGCACAGGCGAGTCAAAGGGTCTCCAGAAACAGTATCTTCATCTGCGAGTCAACTGGTTAGGGCTTACAGCCTCCTGTCCCTCCTTTCCCTCCCTCCCTCCCTCCCTCCCTCCCTCCCTCCCTCCCTCGCACCAGACTAGCGGAGCGGACGATATTGGAGCACCTGAGGGAAGGAGGGCTGCTGCAGGGGTGAGTGAGCTAGACGATGGTGTGTGCGGTGGCTCAATGTGGGTGAGTTGAAAGAAGAGAGAGGTCGCGCAGTGGGGGGAGGTTGACGAGGCGTATGAGTGGGAGCGAGCATGGTGCATGGGTGAGCATGGTGCATGGGTGAGCAGGGTACAGGGGTGAGCATGGTGCATGGCCATAATAGACAATGGTGCGCATGTGGGAGCAGAGCGTTGTTGATGCCTCATGCTTCTGGCTTTGCCTGTCGATTGCATTGCAGCACCCATGCATAGGTCTCGTTTTGAGTCGACTCAAAACGAAACTAATATCACCTGTGCGTTGCACCACCCATGCATATGTCTCGTTCCGAGTCGACTCAAAACGAAACTAATATCACCTGTGCGTTGCACCACCCATGCATACGTCTCGTTCCGAGTCGACTCAAAACGAAACTAATATCACCTGTGCGTTGCACCACCCATGCATAGGTCTCGTTCCGAGTCGACTCAAAACGAAACTAATATCACCTGTGCATTGCACCACCCATGCATAGCATAGGTCTATTGAAGACATGATGGCCAACCTTCATGGAGAACTGTTCATGCCGCATGGCCTATGTATGCTCACATAACTGCATTGTACCATTTCTCCACAGATCCATACACGACATAACCATCTAGGAGCACTGTTCATGCTGCATACATGTGTGCTCTACCATCCCATGCACAGGTCCATTGATGACATGATGGGTAATCATCTAGGGGCGCTGTTCATGCCACATGGGCTGGGTCACTTCCTCGGCATTGACACCCATGATGTTGGCGGCTACAACAATGTGAGATGCAGACTATATGCGAGTGGCTACAACAATGTGAGCTGCAGACTGTATGCGAGTGGCTACAACAATGTGAGATGCAGACTGTATGCGAGTGGCTACAACAATGTGAGCTGCAGGCTGTATGCGAGTGACTGCAGCAATTGGAGGCTTTAGTATTGAGAGGCCTCCGAGCTCCGTTCGAACACGTTTCTTATCACCCATGGCCGGGGACACTTTCTGGGCACCGGCACTCATGATTTTGGTGGCTACAACAACAATGTGAGCTGCAGAATACATGCGAGTGGCTACAACAATGTGAGGCTTTCGTTCTGAGACGTCTCCCAACTAGATTTTTTTTAATCTCGCATAGCCCCGGCTTTTCTTTCCATTTTGTCAGCATCGGCACACACGAGGTTGGTTATAGTATTGCCGCCTGCGGAAGGGTTTCATATAATAGTGCAAGCTGCTGTGTTGAAGGATATGTCACCGCAGCTTGTTCCACAAGGCAATTCGGTACATGCATGTGACATACAGCGTGTCGAAGGAAGCGTATCTTGGGGCGCCTCAAAAAAAATTTAGGCGCTCCAAGAAGCGTATCAGATGGTTTTGGCCTTTTTTGCATAACAGGAGAAGGAAGTGTCAAAGGAAGTGTATTTGATGGTTTCTGGCCTTTTCCCCCTATTACTCAGGACTTACCTCTCCTCCCTCCACCTTCCCTCCCACCCCCTTCTCTTGCACCCCCCCCCCCCCATTCCTATGTATGTATGTGCACCTACTATATCGCTTCTTTTTTTCAATACTTCTAGGCAGAGAGAGTGACGGAGCCAGGGGCGAAGTCACTTCGTACAACAAGAGACCTGCAGCCTGGCATGGTATGGTATGGCCATGGGATGGCGTGGTATGGCGTGGTATAGCATGGGATGGCTATGGGATGGCATGGTATGGCGTGGTATAGCATGGGATGGCTATGGGATGGCATGGTATGGCGTGGTATGGCGTGGTCTGGCATGATATGGAATGCCATTACGCATACCATTTTTCCTTTGTATCTAAAAGCGCCCCCGTTGTGAGGTTTTCATGTCAGGTGTCAGGTGTTTGGTGTCGGGTGTTGAGTCTCAGCTGTCGGCTGTCGGCTGTCACCTGTCGGCTGTCGGTTGTCGGGTGTCAGTTATCGGCTGCCGGTTGTCAGGTGCCGGCTGTCGGCTGTCGGGTGTCGGCCACGGGGTGATTCGCTCGGCCACAGGGTGATTCGCTCGGCCATAGGGTGATATACTCGGCCACGGGGTGCTTCACTCGGCCATGTTATCGGCTGTCGGGTGTTGGGTCTCGGGTCGGCTGTCGGGTGTTGGCTGTCGGCTGTCAGCTTTCGGCTGTCGGCTGTCAGCTGTCGGGTGTCGGTTGTCGGGTGTCGGTTGTCGGCTCCCTGCTGGACCCAGTGCTTGCTGACCCTGCTGACGTCTTACTTCACTCGACCCAACTCCCCGCCCGCCTTCCCCCATGCCTGCTCTCTCCGCATCTCTCGTTTTCTTCCCAGGTAATCACAGTGGAGCCAGGCTGCTACTTCATCGACTCTCTGCTGGACCCAGCCCTCTCTGACCCGGTTGTTGCTCGCTTCCTCGTGCCTGAGAGGATCGCTCAGTTTCGAGGTTTCGGTGGCGTGAGGCTGGAAGATGACGTGGTGAGTGCAGGTGTTGTGCGGTGACAAAGGGTGTTTTGGGGGTGACATGCCGTTGGATGGGAAGAGTGTGGGTTTTCGGGTGTGTGCAGTAACGAATGAGTCTGGCGAACACAGGAGCAGTGAAAATAAGGATGTCTGTTCAGTATGGGTAGAGTAGACATCCTTTTGTTCAGTATGGGCATTCCTTCGCAAAATCAAGCTCGTCTCCTCTTCATCCCCGCTACAAGCAACCTGTCTCTGCATGTTTTCAATGCAATAGTACATGCCTAACACCATTCTTCAACCCCTGTGCATTTCAGGTGGTGACAACAGAGGGCATCGATAACCTGACCAGGTGCCCGCGTGATGTGGCAGATGTGGAAGCAGTAATGGCTGGCAAGCCATGGCCCTCTGCGTTGAATTAGACACCATTTGACAGTGGTGTGGTGCATTGGATGGTGTACTGCGAACCTGTCCAGGTGTTCGCGTGAATCGTGATGTGGCGGATGTGGAAGCAGTAACGGCTGGCAAGCCGCGGCCCTCCGCTTTGGACCACGAACGAGCCCTTGGATGGCAATGACTTGGTGCATTGGCTGACGCACTGCAAACCTGACCAGGTGCCCACATGGTGTGGCAGATGTGGAGGCGGTAATGGCCGGCAAGCCACGGCCCTCTGCACTGGACTAGAAGAGACCCCCAGGGCAACAGAGTTAGCAAGTCAAGACTACTGGCTTAGCCCTTATTGCAAAAGCACATACAGTAACTTTGTACAGCAGCTTCTGCGCCTGAAGCATGCACGGATTATGGGTGCACACATGGGGCTGGATTTCCCTATACACCGCAACTATTTTTCAAGAGGAGAGCATCAGGATTCAGGGTTCAGGACGTTAGGCAGCTCTCTATGGCTCTTCGAACGCCAACCAGCACAGGCAGAGGGGGCTTGAGATGCTGCGCGAGGAAAGGGGGAAAGGAAGGAGGGGAAAGTCGAGACTTGATCAACAGCAGAGAGCAGATGAGAGAGCATATGTGAACAACAGCATACACTGTACACTGGAGTGGTACCTTAGCTACCTGAAACACAGGCAAGAACTGTTAAGTAACGACCAGAAGCAGCATAAGAACCAAGTGGCAGCTGGAGGGAGAGAGACAGAACACAATCGTTAAATCATGCACAACCCAGGGTACACCAGTGCACACCAGGGTGCAAATCATACCTGGAAGACTGGCAGAGGCTGGTCGGAGTCAGCGAGCAGCAGCACGAGGGCGAAGTGGCAGCTGGTGGGAGTGACGATCTCGGTGATAGTTGCTGCTGCTATCATGCTCAGCGGTACTAACTGCCTGTGCACCACCCTTGCCTGCATCCCCCCCATGCCACCACCATTGCTGCCACCGCCACTGAGATTGCAGGGGTGAGATGCCCTAAGGGTTGTTTGTCCCGCCGTGGCGACCTGCACCACCTCTATCTGCACTCCCAGGCCCTGCACGATCATCACCGTCACTGGTGCATTTGGCATGGAAAGGACGAAGGAAGAGGTGAGGGAATGGGAGAAATCAACGAGATGAACAAGTGGCAGCTGCCTGTGCCACCTCTATTTGTACTCCCAGGCCTTCCATCCACAATAATCACTGTGAATCGTGCAGGCAGGATAAGATAGGACGAAGGACGAAGAGAGGGAATGGGAGGGATCAAAGGGAAGAACGAGGATTAGGGTTGCAGGCAAAGCACAGACAGACGAGTTCCTTCAGTCTCCCCAAGGGCCATCAAGGACCCCAGAGGTTCAGTCTCGGCTTTATCTTGATGCTTCATGTTGCTGGCTGGTGAATGTTTTTCAGAATGCCTTTTCAAAAACATAATACAAGGAACCCAGAGGTTCAGTCGCGGCTTTACCTTGATGCTTCATGTTGCTAGGTAAAAGTCGGCGCAGGGCAGTTCTGAGCACAACTGCAGCAGCCAAAACACCCAGAACTGTTTGGACCGCTGCGGTGGGTTGCTGTGGGGACAACACAAGAGGGAGAGGCGGGGATGAGAAGAGAAGGGGGAGAGAAGGGGGAGAGAAGGGGGAGAGAAGGGGGAGAGAAGGGGGAGAGAAGGGGGAGAGAAGGGGGAGAGAAGGGGGAGAGAAGGGGGAGAGAAGGGGGAGAGAAGGGGGAGAGAAGGGGGAGAGAAGGGGAGAGAAGGGGGAGAGAAGGGGGAGAGAAGGGGGAGAGAAGGGGGAGAGAAGGGGGAGAGAAGGGGGAGAGAAGGGGGTGAGAAGGGGGAGAGAAGGGGGTGAGAAGGGGGAGAGGCGGGGAAGAGAAGGGGGAGAGAAGGCGAGAAGAAGAGACGGTGTGAGAAGAGAGGGTGATACCATCAATTAGCCATGATAATGACCGTGCTGCTAGCAGAGCTTGAAAGGCTAAGAAACGGCAGACAAAGCTTAAAGCCCCCGTCTCATATTTCCAACCGACCAAAGGTAGCGGATCAGACGTGGCGTTTTGGATGCCTCCAGATGCCGACGTGACGTTGCAAGAGCGCACGGGCTACGGACTACGGACTACGGACTACGGACGGCTATTGCAGCTGACACCGAAGAACCGCTTACCGAGGATGTTAGAGCGACGGCGAGACCGACAATGACGACAGCAAAAACTGGCTTCGATAGGATATCGAATGTCCATCTGCTTCTGCTTCGTCTGCTGTCGTTGCCGCCAGAACTGCTAAGAACGCTGTCGTGCGAGCTTATCTCCCGCGGCGCGGCACTAGTGGGAGGGAGAGGCGAGACGGTGTGCCACTGACAGGCGCCCGACGGGTCTCGCTCGACCTCGTACACCCACCCGCCATGGACCTCCGAGCGACCCATGCCCGGCCGACTTGACCGTCAGGCTGATCTGACCGTCAGGCTGACTCTACCGTCAGCCTGACTTGACTGCCACACTGAATGTCGGACTTGGCTCAGAACAGTGAAAGCTCGCTTCGCGTAATGGCTATTACTGACGCGACTCAAACCCCAAGGCTACTAGCAAGCTGTTTCGTATCTGAGCAGTCCGGTTTCAACTCATCTCTATCTGGTTTCACGCCATCACCTGCTGCTTTATCTTTCCGCCAACAAGCCCTCGGTGAGGTTGGAAAAAAGATCGATGGAGAACGACGGGAAGGCCAGAGTTCAAGTGGAGAATTTACCCTAGAAAGCCGAGCAGCTGTACTCTACAGTGAATAAACAAGTAAAGTTTATGCTAGCCGAATTGAACTGTCGACAAACTCTAGGTGACTTTTTCAGGTGACTGGGATTTTTTAGTTGAGACTAATGACTGACACGAAGCTACGAGGAGATGCAGCCTCATGGTCCCAGTTGAGGATCTATGATACCCTATGGCCTGGGCTCCTGCTGGCGGGCGGTCGCAGCATCCCGCGCACCAGGTCACCACGTTTGAGGCGCCTTTAGACAGTGGCACACGGCTTGTCTCAGCTTTCGTCTCGCGCGTTTCTCACCCCAGAATGAACCAGTAAGCGGTCTCGGAATATACAGCTTAGTGCCTATTAGTGTCCTAAAATCGGGGGGTCAGGCCAGCTTAGACGTAATAGGGTACTGTTTTACGTAGTAGGTTCAGGCCTAAGCGGCAGCTTCTCTTTCGCGAGCGTCGCATGGCGTCGCACAGCAGCTCCTCTAGCTCCCTGCCGTTAGCAGGAGAGTCGTCGTCGCAGCTGTCGCCACGGGCGTCGCTACAACCGTCGCTGCAGCCGCTTTCGCGACGCATCGGCGACCTTGCGACGGAGGGTGACGTTCGCAGCCGCGTGAAGTGGCTGAATCCGGAGGCGTACGGCGCGGGCGAGCTGGTCGTCGTCCGTCGCAGCACGGACGAATGGCGATACGCCGAGGTCGTTAGCGTCGCACAGGACGGTCTTCAGCTGCGAGTCGGGCCCGGACTAACTAAAGACGTCGCGACGCGGCTCTTAGGCACACACGTGGGGAAGCTTCCGGGCAGCAGCAGCGTTTTCGGCGTCATCCCCGTTACAGGACCGTCGCGAAACAGGCTATCGTTATCGGCGCTCTCTTCGCGTTCTTTCGACATGAGCAGCAACGGCCATGGAGCAGCAGCAGCAGCAGCAGCAGGGGCGTCATCAGGAAACGCATCAGCTTCAGCACTAGCAGCAACCCTGGCGGTGACAGCAGAAGAAGCAGAAGAAACAGCAGCAGCAGCAAGTGGAGCGATAGACGCAGCATCGGCAGCAGCAGCAGTCATTGCAGAGTGGAGACGATCTTCGCAGCTGGGCCCTGTCAGTGCCATCGCTGCCACTGCTACCACCGCTGCCACCACCGCTGCCAGCACCAGTGACACCACCGCCGCAATCGCCACCAGCTCCCCTGCAACGGCTGCAGCTGGTGCAGCTGGTGCAACTGGTGCAACTGCTGTCAGCGCTGCTGCTGCGGCTACCATTATAACCACGAATGGTCCTGCTGTCGCCACTGCCGCCAGTGCCAACACTGCCAGTGCTGCCAATACCTCCACCGCTAGTGTTACCGCTGTTGCAACGACCATGGTTCACACAACTGCTCAGTCTGCTGCCTCTGCTCCAATTCCAACAACAGCGGCGGGAGCGTTCGCCGAGTCCAACTCAAATGCAACTCAGCCATCCACTCATACCCGGACGCCCTCCCAAACCCTAACGCTCTCGCATTCCCCAAGGTCCCCTCGCGGTTCAACCCAGCTCACCCCCCAACCCTCTTCCCAGCAACCCACATCACAACAACCCACCTTGCCACACCCCAACAACTCCAACCAAACCTCCACCCAATCTTCCTCCCAGTCCTTTCCCCGGACCTCCTCCGAGCCCACCTCCCAAACCTCCGCCCAAACCTCCCCCAAACCTGCTCCCTGCAACGAAACCAAGGCTCTGTTGCCATGGCAAACTGAGGACTGCCCTATCTGTCTGGAAGCCATGGTCAGGGGCAGGGCTCTCTATGCCCCTGAGTGCGGTCACCTCTGCCACTTTGACTGCATTCGTGAGAACGTTCGCCACGGAAATTTGTGCTGCCCGCTCTGCCGCTTCCCGCTGCAGGAGCGCCCCACGTCGATTTTTCCCCTGCCCGAGGCAACGGTTTTCCCAAGGGGGGGTGGTCCGAGGGTGGGGGAGAGGAGAGGGGGGTTGTTTGGCGTGGGGGAGGATGTAGGTGCGGTGGGAGGGGGAAGGGGAAGAGAAGGGGGAGGCGGGGAAGGGGGAGGAGGGACAGGGGGAGCAGGAGGGGGAGGGGAAGGGGGAGGGGGGTGGGCGCAGGGGGGGGTGTGGGGGAACCAGAGGCGGGACCTGCAGCGGGCAAGGAATCACATTGCGGAGCAAAGGGCTGTGGCGCTGCAACTTGTAAGCTGCAGCTGTCATATTTGCTGATGCCACCGCTGCTGGCTTTTGTTTGGATTTCCCATCAACAGAGGGTTTAGAGGCAGGATTCCCCACCCATACTATGAGTTTGTTGCCTTAAATCTCGATTTTTCTCTGCCTCCCCTCTGCCCACCAACCCTCGAGCCGATAGCAGCAGCAGCAGAGGAGCGCATTGGTCTTGTCACTGCATTTTAATGATCTCAACACCCCACTATCTCCTCCCCCCCTCCCCCCCCCCCCGCCTCCCACCCTCGAGCTGATGGCAGCAGCAGCAGAGGAGCGCATTGGTCTTGTCACGCCATTTGAATGATCTCAACACCCCTTTATCGCCTCGCCCCCCCCCCCGCTTCCCACCCTCTCCCAGAGGACAGCAGCAGAGGAGCGCACTGCTCTTATCACTCCATTTGAATTATCTCAACACCCCTCTGTCTCCTCCCCCTCAGCGCATTGCTCTAATCACCTCAAAAATCCTTTATCTTCCTTCCCCATCCTCTCCCCGCCCGACTCCCCCCCTCTCACCTTGCCAGATGGCAGCAGCAGAGGAGCGCATTGCTCTGGTGAGGGCAGCTCACGCGGAGGTCCATTCCCACGTGCGCCTAGCGCAGCAGCTTGTACAGAGGATATCCGACAGGCGGTAAGCAGCGTGTGCTGTATAAGAATTTGCTGCAACTGAAGGCAGTACAATTTGCCGGACACTTATAGCCTATAGGTCCACTTTTCCAACCCTTAAGAACGAAACACCTCCCCCATCCCCCCCTCCCCCTCTCCCCGCCCCCTGTCCCCTTCTCCGCCGTCCTCCCCACTTCCCCTCGTTGCTCCAACCACAGGCAGCGAGCTCTGGGGGACAGCCTTCGCTACTCGCTCTCCCCTCCCCTCTCCTCCTCACCCCCTCCTCCGCCCCTTTCCCTCTCCTCCCTCTCTCTCTCCATCCCATCCGACCCCATAGGCCCTACCTCCTCCTCCTCCTCCTCCTCCTCCTCCTCGGCTCTTCGCCGATCCCTGGCCCTCGCAGCTGCTGCTGCAGCAGCGGATGATCCCTATGCCGCCGCCCTGCCTTCCCGCCACACCCGCCCCTCCGTTCCGTCCCGCCCTTCCCTCTCGTCCCTGTCCTCTCTTTCCTCCCTCTCTGCTCACTACTCACATCGCTACTATGCGACTACCCCACCCGTACTCTCCCCTGCCCCTAACCCTCTCTCTCCCTCTGGCCCTCTCTCCACTTCTAATCCCCTCTCTACCTCTCTTTCTCTTTCCTCCACCGCCCATCCCCTCACCTCGACCACGCGCCGCTCTGTATCGGGCCCTCTTTCTCCCTTCCCACACACTTCTCATTCCTCCTCTTCCTCTCACTCCTCTTCCTCGTCCTCCTCCCTGCTCTCCATTCCTCTCCCCCCTCGCTCCCCCACTCCAACTGACAGCAACACCGCTGCCTCTTCGTTCTCTGCTCCTGCTCCTTCTCCGGCTTTCACAGTTTTTAACAATCCCAACACTGCAGCACCTACTGCTCAGAGCAGTGCGGGTTCTGGCAGTACTAGTGCGGGTTCTGATGTCCATGCTGCTATCAATACTGCGACTGGTACTAGTTCGAATCCTGGCTCCACCCCTGCTACCTCGACTGCAGTCCCTGCTTCCACCTCTCCCAGTGAAACCACCACTGCTGCAGGATTAGCTACCGCTGTCATCACCCCCCCTACCACCAGTTCTGCTTCAACAACTACTAGTGCTGCTGCTGCCACCGCTACCGCCAGTGCTGCTGCCAGCACCATCGCTCCTACCTCTCGTTCCCCGTCCACCATCGCCCCGTCCTCCCGGCCCTTCCGCTTCTCGGGCCCGTTCTCCTCCCTCTCCTCCTCGCACAGAGAGTATGGAGAGCTGCCCCTCTCCCTCTCCTCTCTCTCCCACTCGCACAGAGAGCATGCAGAGCTCTCTTCTCCTCCCCTCCGCAGCCTAGGTCCCACCGCTATCCCCTGTGCACATCCCGGCAACGCAAACAGTGCTAGTGCTGCTGCTGAAGGCGCTGCTGCAGCCGGTGTTTTGGAAGGGAGCAGCGTTGGGGCTTGCACAGTGAACAGCAGAGGGAGTGCGGTCGAGGAAGGTGCAAGGAAAAGCGGCAGTAGCACCAGGACAGGTGATCGAGGCGTTGTGGTTGGTATCCTGGCTAGCAGTGGACTGAATGGCACGAGTAGCAGCGGGATGTGCGGCAATGTGACTTGTGGAAGAAGCTGTGGTAGCACTAACAGCGACACCAGCAGGAGTTATAACGGGGAGGGCAGTGGTTGCATAGTCAGCACCACCGGCAGCAGCAGCAGCAGCAGCAGCAGCAGCAGCAGCGTGAGGGAAAGAGGGCAGTACCCATGGCAGGTGGAGCGAATACTAGAGAGAAACAGGCAGATGAGGCTGAAGCAGCAGCAGCAGGAGGAGGTTCAGCAAGGTCAAAGGCAGGAGGGACAGCAGCAGCAGCAGCAGCAGCAGCAGCAAGAGCAGTTGCAGATGCATGAGCAGCAGCAGGAGGCAAACCAAGGGTTGGATAAAGGAGGAGATGAGGAGGAGAGGGGATTGGGTCAAGGAGAAGAGGACGGAGGGTGGGATGAGCAAGCAGAGCAGACTACGGGTGGGAGCAGCGGATTGGCCGACGACCTGCAGGTAGATCTGTTGCCAGCGGGAACATCTTCTGGGGAAGGTACATCTGAGTGGGCGGCGAGGGGAAGGTCAGGACCAAACAGGACACAGAGGGATGGTAGTAGTAGAAACGTGAGGAGTGGGCGGGGGGGGGATATGGAGAGGAGAGCGAGAGCGGATGACAGTGTTTTGCATAGAGAGAGGGGGTTCAGAAGAGCAAAGAGTGAAGATGTAGGCATGGGGCCTGGGGATAGCAGGTTCAGGGGCATAGGGCAGAGGTTAAATGGGGCACGGACAAGAGAGGGTGACTCTAGCGGTGGTATCGTTATTGGGAGTAGCAGTACCAGCAGCAGTAGCGACAGAAGAAGGAATGTCAACGGCAGTGTTGGCAGCAACAGCAGCAATTTCTGGAGGAGGGAGAGGAGGGTGATTCATGGGAGACGACTTGCGAGAGTGGAAGCAGAATTTGGAAACCAAGGTCCATTGGATGACAGTTTTGAGACGTCTCAAATCTCTTTTGAGGACAGTCTACAGCGACCTCGAGACTCACTTGATGATAGTCACCTGTCGGAATTGCAGGAGGATCAGGAGGAGGAGTTGAGGCAGCAACAAGAGGAGGATCAGGAGCAGCAGCAGCAGCTGCTGCAACTTCAGGAGCAAATGCAATTGCAGGAAGAGTTACAGGGTCAGCTAGAGGTCGAGTTACAGGTGCAGAATCTGTTACAGTTAGACGAGCAGCAACAGCAGCAGCAGCTGCACGAGCGGTTACAGGCTCAGGAACAGGAACAGTTACAGGTGCAGGAGCAGTTTCAGTTGCGAGCGCAGTTACAACTTGGGTTACAGGACCAGTTACAGTTGCAAGAACGGATTGATATGGAGGAGCAGTTACAGCAGGAGCAGCAGGAGCAGCAGGAGGCAGATGTGTTACAGTTACAGTCTGAAGGGGAAGTGGAGCAAGGGTTACTATGTGATGAGCAGTTACAACTTCAAGACGAGTTACAGTTACAACTCCAGGACGAGTTACAGTTACAACTCCAGGACGAGTTACAGTTACAACAGCAGCTGGAGGAGCAGCTACAGATGGAGCAGCAAGGTAGGGGGGCGTTACAAGTGCAATTTAGAGATGGGATGCAGGAGGAGGTACGGTTTCAGGAGCCATTTCAACTTGAGGACGAGTTACAGTTACAGCAGCATCTAGAGGAACAGCTTTTGCAGCAGCAGTTGCAGGAGGGGCAGCAGCTGCTGTTGCTGCAGCAGCAGCAACAAGAAGATGAGGATGCGCAGGAGCAATTGCAGGAGGAAATACAAGAGCAGATTCAGCTGCTGCAGCAGCAGCAGCTACAGCAGGAGCGACGGTTACAGCAGGAGGAACAGGGGGAGCAGGGGGAGCAGGGGGAGCAGGAGCAGCACCCAGGGGAAACACAGGCACAAGCACAAGCAGAGGCAGAGGCAGAGGCAGAGTCACGGGGCGAAGGTGGCCCGCATTCATACAGTGGCAATGGCAACAGCAACCGCAGCAGCAGCAGCAGCAGCAGCAGCAGCAGCAGCAGGGACAGAGGCCTAATGGGTTTGGGGAGAGGGGCAGCATCAGGTGTGCTGAGCCCAGAAACACAGGGAGAAGCAGGGAGCCTAGGACTACAGATTAGGGGGTGTAGAAGGGTCCAAAGGGGCGCTGCTGCTAGGCTCGACAGCAGGAGAGGCTCGGCACCGAGGCTGTTAGGCGTGTACAGGAGGCACGGGAGGGAGGATCGGCATCGGCTGGAGGAGCTCACTGGGAATCTAGAAGATGGGGAGAGTACTCTGTCTGGGATCACTATTGATGTTCCTCCTGGTGCCGATGACTATAACGAAGGAGGCAACAGTGGTGAGATGGCCATTAATGGCGGCAGTCTGGAATATACTCCCTGGTTCCCTGGGCGGTTGACCCCCAATCAAGCCCTGCTGGACCAAGGTTTGTCAAGCTCACCCCAGGCTATGCGCATGAGGAGAACGAGCAGTATTGGCAGCCACAGCACCAACAGCAGCAGCAGGAACGGCAGAAGTAGCAACAGGCGAGGCAGGCCCGATAGGGCCCTACGTGCACCTCAGATTCTGGGTGCTTCTGAACAGCCCCCTTACAGCCTTCACCATGCAAACCTCCCCCAGTTTAACCTCCCCTTCTCCCACAGTGAGGGTTCAGTCCCCTCCCTGACTCTGGGTGGGCGACACCCTCGGGTGCCACCCTCTGAAACCAGCCTTGGGATGCTGGGGTTGGAAGGTTGGATGGGGGGACTGGGACTTGGAGCAGGGGTGGTGGAGGAGGGGGAGGTGGAGGCGGAACTGCTTGCGATGGAAGCAGCAGTGGAGTTTAATGTTAGTGTGATCACCGCCCCGGGGGCATTGCACCATGTGCGCTGGCACAACTGCCACGTGTGCACAGAGCCCAATGCGGTGGTGCTGGATGCTGCTGGGTACATTCTGGTGGAGCGGACGGAGCACGGTGCAAGAGGTGTCAATCCTGTAAGAAACGACAAGCCTCTGCTGCTGCTATGTGTGTTTGTAGCTTCTTCTAGTCCCTCTCCTAAAACCATATCACCCCACTCTATCAAGCAGTCTCTCCCCTTCTTTCGCTCCTGGATTCTCTGTGCGCAGGCGGTGTTGGAGGAGCAGGGAGAGAGTCTGATTCACGTATTAATGGAGTTCTCTCTTCCTCTCTCAGGCGCGTCACATTCTTCCATGCATTCCTGGACCTCTTGTCATCTCCCCCCTCTGCCTGTTACTTCATCGGTCTGCAGGTGGTGTTGGAGGAGCAAGGAGAGAGTCTGATTCACGCGCTGGTAGACTTCTCCCCACCTCTGCTGCACCTCTCATTCGTCCACGCCTTCCTTGACCTCGACCCGCGGGCGGTGGTGCTGCAGGAAACAGCACTGAGAGTCAATAGATGGCTCAGTGACAGCCGCAACCACCATATTTCCGTGGCACGCTTTGCCACGTGTGATCATCAGTACCTTTAATGGGCTTACACAATTCTGTCAAACATGTGTACCTCTTATACTTTGCATAGACTGTATAGGGTCATCTCTTAGAGGGTACAACACTTAGATATATTCCTGTACTCTCTCTCTCTCTAGTTATTCTTTCAGTTTTTAAGATGGTATCAGCAGTAGGTAGGTCCCGAACACCCACACTTCCGCTCTAGGACCTCCCCGCCCTAGTCGCGCCCGCCCTAGCCGCGCCCGCCCTAGTCGCGCCCTGCGCGCCACCTCCCCTCGGCCCTAGCGCCCGTCCTAGCCGTCCTAGCACCCGCCCTAGCGCCCGCCCTAGCGGCCTCCACGCCCGCCCTAGTGGCCCCTCGTGCCCGTCCTAGCGCCCTCCCTAGCGGCCCCTCGTGCCCGCCCTAGCGCCCGCCCTAGCGGCCCCTCGTGCCCGCCCTAGCGCCCGCCCTAGCGGCCTCCACGCCCGCCCTAGCGGCCCCTCGTGCCCGCCCTAGCGCCCGCCCTAGCGGCCTCCACGCCCGCCCTAGCGGCCCCTCGTGCCCGCCCTAGCGGCCTTCACGCCCGCCCAGGCGGCCCCTCGTGCCCGTCCTAGCGCCCGCCCTAGCGGCCCCTCGTACCCGCCCTAGCGCCCGCCCTAGCGGCCTCCCCGCGCTCGCCCTAACGGCCCCTCGCGCCCGCCCTCGCGGCCCCACGCCCGTGCCCGCCCTAGCAGCCCCTTCGCCCGTGCCCGCCCTAGCAGCCTCCCCGCGCTCGCCCGCTCGGCCCCTCGCGCCCGCCCTAGCGGCCCCCGCGCTACCGCTCGGCCCCTGCGCCCGTCCCAGCTGGCCCACGCCCGTCCCGGCCGACCCGCGCCCGTCCCAGCCGGCCCGCACCCGTCCCAGCAGGCCCCGCGCCCGGCCCAGCCGGCCCCGCGCCCGTCCCAGCCGGCCCCGCGCCCGTCCCAGCCGACCGGCGCTCGTCCCAGCCGACCCGCGCTCGTCCCAGCCGGCCCCGCGCCCGTCCCCGCCGACCCGCGCCCGTTCCAGCAGGCCCGCGCTCGTCCCCGCCGGCCCCGCACCCGTCCCGATATGCCCCGCACCTGTCCCAACTGGCCCCCGCGCCCGTCCTGCCCCGAGCTGTGTGCGGCTAGCTCGTCGTGCCTGCTCCGGCCCTGCACCCTCCCTGGTACGGTTTTCCATCACCTGTACCGCACTCTACTGTACTGTACCGAACTGCACTGCCCTGCACCGCACTGCACCGCACGGTACCGCACTGCACCGCCCTGCACCACGCTGCAACGCACTTCACCGCACTGCACTGCCTTGTATCGCACTGTACAGTCCTGCACTGCTCCTGATGGCGGCGGAGCTTCGCTTCGACGCGGAAGGCCAGCCTCTGGAGTTCGAGGCATGGCTCGCTGACCTCCGTCGCCACCTCACTGGCCAGCGGCAGGATGGCCACCCGCTTTTTGCACACCTTGACGGTATGCTCCCCTGCCCAGACCCCCCTGCTGTGCTGCCCGCTGACCCCACACCCGCTGAGCGCGAGTCTGCTGCAGCCGATGCCCTTGCGCGCTCTGTCTGGCTTTCCCGAGACGCTGTCGGCCAGCTTGCCATTAGCAATGCCCTTCCCCCGTCTGAGCGCCCTCGCTTTAGGTCCCTCACTACCGCCCAGGCTTACTTAGATGCTGTCCTCCAGCGCTATTCCACCCCTCCTGCTGCCTCGGTGGGTCGCCTGATCCTCCCGCTGCTCTTTCCTGATCTTGCGTCCTTCCCCACTGTCGCTGACTTGGCTGCCCACCTGCGCACGATAGATGAGACCTGGCGCGCAGCCTGCACTGACGCACAGCTTAGAGCCCACCAGCCCCCCATTACCTCTACCCTCTACCTGCTTGCCACCCGCCTCCCTGACCGCCTTGCCGCCGCCCGCGACCGCTTCCTTAGTATCCACCCCGGTGAGCTCACCCTCACCGACTTTGTAGACACCCTGACTGTTATAGAGACCTGCCACCGCTCCATCACCCAGGCGAGCGGTACTATGCCGGTCCCTATCTTTCAGGGTTGTGCCCCCACTCAGTATACCTTCTCCGACGGTTCTGCCGCTGTGGCTGAGACTGCGGCTGGCGTGCAGTTCCGTCCGGGGAAGGGCCGCCGCCCCAAGGCTGGGCGCGGCGGCGGAGGAGGGGGTGCAGGTGGGGGTGGTGGTGGAGTCGGGTCTTCTGGTGCTGGAGCGGACGAGGGGTCCCTGCCCGGTCCAGCTGAGCCGCCGCCTCCACAGTCGCAGCAGCCGCCGCAGCCTCCGCAAACGAGGCAGGCGAGTGTCCTCCCGCCCGGGTGGCCTGGAGCTAGAGGTGGTCGTGCGCGTGGTGGTGTACCGGGTGGTGGTTCGGGAGGCGTGTGTTGTCAGTACCAGATCCAGACCGGTCCTCGCCGCGGCTTCGTTTGCGGTAAGACCGGTCATACCACTCCTCGCAACTTTCGTCGCCTGGACGACTTGTTTCGTCAGCGCTTCGGCCCGTCGCCAGACCTCCCGGACTGGCACAGTTTGCTTCGTCGTAGTATTCCGATTTTTTACTTGGACATGGATGCTATTGTTTCTGCTCTGCATGTGATGTATGCTGATGACTCTAGTGTGCTTCCCGCTTATTACTCATTGTCGTCTAGTGTAGGTGTGCCTAGCTTAGCCTCCCCTGCTGCGTCAGGCATAGAAGCCCCTGCTTTGTTTAGCCTTGGTGCCTCCGCCGTCGCCCCGTCGCCGGACGCCACTGCTTCGCTTTCCTTCATTTTGGACTCTGGCGCTTCCCGGTGCTTCTTCCGCGACTTCACTACACTGACGCCACTTCCTGTTCCTGCCGCTGTTTCTCTTGCTGACCCCTCCGGCGGTCCGGTAGTCGCTCGCAGTTCCACCACCCTTCCCTGTCCGGCAGTTCCTTCGGGCTCTCTCACAGGTCTGCATATCCCCTCGTTCTCCAGGAACCTAGTTGGTGTCGGCTGCCTCTAGGACCTTGGCGTCACCACTACGTTCCCTGGTCACGAGCGGTATGCTGTCTGTACCGAGGCTGCCACAGGTGCCCCTTTGCCCACGTTCCCCCGGGACCCGGTGTCCGGCCTTTTCACCCTGGACACCGTGACCCCCCCGGCTGGGGCGCCCCTCCTGGTGGCTGCGTCTTTCCAGGTTGCTGCTGCTTGCTCCTGTCGGTCTCTCACTCATCCGATTCTCCTTTGGCACCACCGTCTAGGTCACCCTGCGCTTCCGCGTCTGCGTTACATGTCCCAGCACGATCTCGTCCTTGGTCTCCCTGGTTCCCTCCCCCCCTTTCCCTCCTCCCCCGCCCCGCATTGCACTCCTTGTGTTGAGGGTCGGCTTCGCCGTGCCTCCCACTCCTCCTCGTTTCCCCCTACCGCCGCGCCGCTGCAGACCCTGCACATGGACGTCTGGGGCCCCGCCCCCGTCCATGGGCCGCGTCGAGAGCGCTACTTCCTCGTGCTTGTCGACGACTTCACTCGCTACACCACATTCTTTCCCCTGGAGCGGAAGGCCGACGTGCCTGATGCTCTCATCCCCTGGCTTGTCTCTGCGTGTGTCCACAGAGGTCTCCCTATCTTGCGCCTTCACTCAGACCGTGGTGGCGAGTTTGCCTCAGGTGTCCTTGGTCGCTTCTGCCGTGCGGAGGGCATCACCCAGACGTTCACCCTGCCGGACTCCCCAAAGCAGAATGGGGTCGCTGAGCAACGCATCGGCTTGGTCATGGAGGTTGCTCGCACCTCCATGATCCATGCCGGTGCTCCCCATTTTCTGCGGCCGTTCGCTGTGCGCTACGCTGCTCACGAGCTTAACCTGTGGCCGCACCCCCAGCGGCCGCAGGTTTCGCCGACCCGTCTTTGGACCGGGTCTCCTGGTGACGCGTTTGCGTTCCACGTTTGGGGCTGCCTTGCTCACGTTCGTGCCTCTGGCACAGACAAGCTCACTGCCCACACCCTTCCCTGCGTCTTCCTAGGTTTTCCCCTTAACGCGTCCGACTGGCACTTCTACCACCCGCCGTCTCACCGCTTCTTTCACTCTCGCGACGTCACCTTTGACGAGTCCATCTCCTTCTTCCGTCGCTTCCCCCACCGCGGTCCCCCGGTTACCCCCCCCCTGTTCCTGGCCCCTCCTTCCCCTGTGGTCCCTGCCCTCCCCCCTCCCCCTCCCCGTCCTGCCCCCTCTGGTGTGTCCCACGTCACCCCTCTCCCGTCGGTTGTCCCGGTTGAGGAGTCTTCTGACTCTGGTGGTCCTGCGGCGCAGTCCTCGCTGTTGGCCCCTCCCCCGGAGTCGCCTCTTCTACCGCCTCTAAAGCCGCCGTCGCCTCTACAGCCGCCGTCGCCTCTACTGTCGCCGCCGTCATCTCCGCAACCGTCGCCGCCGTCATCTCCGCAACCGCCGCCGCCGTCGCAGCAGCCGTTCGTTGCCCCTGGGGGTGTCGGCGTTGGAGTGGGCTCTCGCCCCGGTGGCCCTGGGGGTGGTGCCGGGGCTCGAGGAGTTTCGGGCCCTGAGGGTGTTCCTTCTAGGGGTGCTGGAGAGGAGTTTGTCAGTGCTAGCCGCGGAGCAGCTTGCGGTCCCGGTGTCGGCGCTGTACTACTGCAGCAGCAGTCCCCGCCAGTGTCTGCCCTTCGTCTGCTCGGCCTTCCGTCCCCTGACCCTGCGTCCGTTCCTCTCCTTCCGTCCCCTCCTCTCCCCGTGTACGGCCCTGTGTTCCCTCCGCCGGACTCGTCCTCGGCTCGTCTTCCCCCTCGCTCTCCCCTTGTGTCCCCTCCTCTGTCTCCCGACCTGACTCCTGCATCTCACGTCTGGTCTCACCGTCCCTCCCGTGCTCGTCCTGTCTCCCCTGTCGCCCGCTCTCACCCTATGTTGCTTCGTTCCCACGCGTCTCGTCCTCCCCTTCTCCCGTCCCCTCCTCCGTCTTCCCTTGTCGTTGCTCCCCCCTCTCTGTCTGACTACCTTCGTGCCGCCCGTCCTCTCGTTCCTCGGGTCCTTGCCTCTCTCGTTACCGACCCGTCTGTTCCGGTCTGGTGTCTTGACGCTCTTGTCGCTGCGGTCGCTGACTTCGCCTCTACCCGCCGCCTTGACTACGCCACCGCTCTGGTCTCTGACCCTGCCTGTCCTCTGTCTGTCGGGGGTGC